GTGTACATTTTTTATCCCATTTTGCTTTGCTAGGAAAGGATATGAAATGGTTTATAGGGTGAAATAATGAATAAATGAATAAAGATAAAATTAATCGCAGAAAATATAATGAAGCCAAGGATAGAGTCAGAACTCAAGTTAATCTGTTTCAGTTAATTCTTTCAGGGATACATTTGTCTCTCAGCCAGTGGTCAGAGCATGGAGTGAATCCATTCATCCAAAAGATACTCACTGAGCACATATTATGTGCCAAACACAAGTTACAAGTTCAACAGTGACAGATTTATAGTGTCTGTAAAGTAAAAACTAAGTAGTTGCTCCAGATGAAATGGTTTCACCTAGAAAAATCTCCCCATGGATTTTCAGCAGAGATCTGGTGAGTGTAACCACAGCTAGGTCTATGTTCCTGAGTATTCCCTGGATCCGTGTAGTTAATTCAAGCAGTGCCAAGTGTCCTATGCTGTTCTTTCAAGTCCCTCATGCAGGCTGGTGGTATTAGCCAAAGCGTTTCATCAAAGGAGTGAAAACAACACAGCTTAGGTACATAGCTCTCTGATTATCTGGCCCGATCCAAGAATAAAATCTGGAATATTTAGAGAAGGCAGGCAGACCTTCATGCACAATTACTTGGATAATTATACATGTTGCCAGATGTGGCAATTGGTAAAAATGCTGAATCATCAATCAACTCTTTGATCAATCTACAATTACCTTCTAATTAATAATACAATCCTTCTGGGTGTCTCTCTCTCTCTCTCTCTCTCTCTCTCTCTCTCTCTCTCTGTCTCTCTCAGTGTCCAGCTTAGGGCTTGTGGTTTAAAGAAGCCTGAGAATAGAATGGAAGGTAGCACGTCTTCCCACTGTGATGTGGGTGTCATGTTCACCAGCATTGGCAAGAGCAAGAAAAACAGAAGCCACAGATAGCACTTTAAGAGCAAGCCTCTGCTGCAACAACCGAATGTTTAGGCAGATGTATTTATAAAAGAATATGCAACAAACTCTGAAAAAAATCTACCAAAATGGCAAATCCCAGTATAAATTATCACTATGATCATTTCCCCCCTCAATTAACTTTTAATAAATGCCTGTTCTGTGCCAGATACTCTGCTAGGGAGTTCTGAAATGCTTCAAAATTGGTGTTAGTCATTTATTTTCTCAAAATATTGTTATGGTTGTCGGGTTTGAATCCAAGCCTTTACCCAGTAGGCTTTCAGTGACTCAATTAGAATGAAGCCTTTTTGCTCTTTTGGGTATCTCAGAATTATAGAGGATGCCCTACTTTCCGAGGATAGAGAGAGGCCCCACAAGCTAATGCACTCAAAAACTCCCCTAGTTCTATACTTCCTTTTATTCCAAAATCTGTCATTTCCTTCTCAACTGCTTTTGGTGAATCACACTGCTGCTAGAGTAGTTGCGTCTAATTACTGCCCTTAAAAGCTCGAAGCATAGAAATGGAAAGCAAAGCACTCTGAAATTTAGAGGAACCGTGGTTTTTCCAACCCATTGATTAACCCTGTGCTATAAGTAGTGCCTGGAATGCTAATTGTTCATAATTTCCACCTTAATGTACATGATAATTAAAATTACCTTGTCTTTAAGAAAAAGAAAGAAAGAAAAAGCACAATGTTCCTGATTCACACGTGCTTAACTAATTCTCAACCTAGTAAAATGGTATGGTAATTCCAGTCCTAAGTAAGTGAGAATCCTTACCATGTAAATTGAAGTCTTGATTGCTGTTCTTGGGGAAAGCAATGAAAATTAAATGGGTCACTTTGTACTGACAGAAACTTTAAACTTCTAGAGAGACTTTATAAGATAGTTTTGTTCTTGTTCCTTTGTCCAAGTTCTGAAAATGGGGTAAATCCTGGAAGGAAGTTGGCTCTACTTGAGAAAGTTACACATGAAGCAGGTACTTAAAATGACTCCAGGGCCTTCAGTATCAACTTGCCTACCAGATTCTAAGTATCTAAGAGTGAGAGCTCTGTTTGTTTCTGTATCCATCACACAGTAACTTTGTTTTACTCAAAGTTATTTTGTTAAGCCGTGAAACGTGGATCTGAGTGTATTGAGCTCTATCACATTAGGGAGCAGAAACTAGTTTAGATAACTTTTTAAAAAAATTTTTTTTTAATGTTTATTTACTTTTGAGAGAGACAGAGTGTGAGCAGGAGAGGGGCAGAGAAAGGGAGACACAGAATCTGCAGCAGGCTCCAGGCCCCAAGCTGTCAGCACAGAGCCGGATGTGGGGCTGGAACTCATGAGCTGTGAGATCATGTCCTGAGCCGGAGTCAGACAGGTGCCCTTAGATAAGTTTTATTGAAGAATAAAATTTATAATAAATTCTTTTTTATAAGAATATTCAGGAAAGTAAGGAAGACAGGAAACAGTCTTTAACTGTTACCAGACTTCATGGAGATCTGATAGGACATTCAGGATATTATAGAAGTTTGGTCAATGTCAGTTGTATTCCCTGTTTCTTTCTTAGCATCTATGCTTGTCACATAGTACTCAAATATCATTGAGGAATGAATTTTGGATACTAAACTCTACTGTATCTATCTGCTCTCTTCTGTATGCCCAGCTAGTTGTCTATCAACAACACATCTTCTATTTACTTACAGCCTTTTCTGCCTCAAGGTTTCTTTTTTTTGCCATGTTGTGGCTTTCTGTGTGGATTGTGTATCTCTCATTCAAACCCCAGAAGACAGAAGTTCTAATTGGATGGACAAGTCACTGTCCAGTATGAAGCACTTTCTTAGAGCATAATGATCAGGCTGCTCTAGGTGCCTAGTCCTGGTCCAGCTACCTGTGGTTACTAGTGAGATCACAAGGTATGGTCTTGCTCATAAGAAGAATGTAGTTATGGCAGACATTTAGAATATCATTCTGTAATGATAATCTAGAGTCTGACTGCTATTCAGTCATGTTCCAGGTAAGATTCTAAGAAATGGGAGAACATTGTATCAAACAAGTTCATTGTCATGAACTTGGCACAGAGCTCTGCACAAAGTAGGCACTGGAAAAAGTACTGGCTAAATGAAGCCTGATGAAGGAGGAGGACATTCTTTGATCTTAGATGTATAAGGGCCCATTGGGAAAGGTTAAAGAGTAAGGCAGATGTACTTCAACAGTTTTTATCCTGTAAGTGAATGGTTATTTAGAGTGGTAAAACATAAAGCTTCTAAGAGAAAACTCAAATCTAAAAAGACTCCATCTTCACTTTTTCATTGTGTTTGAAAGCCATGAGTATTATTACAGAACTTCTCATTAAGAAGTGGATTTGTCATTACAGTGGGACTGTTGCTTTAAGACTACAAATCCCAGAACTCTTCCTTTTCCCATAGAATTGTCACCATCTTCAAAGTCTTTATAGTAATCCTTTAGAGAAGAACATCATGGGATTTGGATTTGTTGAAAGAGCTGCAGCATATGGGTATGTTTAAATTGAATGGGAAGTATAATTGGGAAATTTTCCAGATTTGGAAAACAAAGGCATTCTTATGGATAATGGTTCCTGATTTCTACCTCCCTCTTTCCACGATCACACACAATCACCACTACCACCAATGACAAGGTAGGTGCTTTCTTATTGCCAGCTGTTTTTGACTCAACATAATAATTGTGATGAAGAGAGAATTTTGCCAGGGTGGCTCAGTCAGGTAAGCATCTGACTTTGGCTCAGGTCATAATCTCGTGGTTTGGGACTCTGAGCCCCACATCGAGCTTTCTGCTGTCCGCACAGACTCCGCTTCGGATCCTGTCTCCTTTCCTCTCTGCCCCTCCCCCACTCACTCTCTTACTCTCTCTCTCAAAAATAAAGATTTAAAAAAAAAGAATTTTGCTTGGCGTGATTTTGGAGGCCTAGGTCACGTTCTTCATTGCTCCCTCCACATTTGGGTCTCATCATTTTGATTCGAGTAGTGGTACTGGCCCCAGCCACTCTTCTTTGCACGCGTTAGAGCTGCAGGAAACACTTACTGATTTAATTATCAATGTGAATTAACAAGGCCGTTGTTGGACTATATTCAACTGCATATAGTCTCATTGTCACAGATATCCCCCTGAAACTGGGAAAACTATGTAATAAGTGTTTCCCATCTGGATTCTAGTTGAATAGAAAGAGAAAAATGGAAATAATAGGGGGGATTCACACAGATGCTTAACTATAATTGGAAAATATCAGGCTGTTGGTTTTTCTATAATAATAAAGTTAGAATGCTGAGTTGGTTGAGTGTAGGTGTTAAAACTGCACAAATTTGGGGTTGAACCCTGGCTCTGCCATATAGCCATGTGACTTTAGACAACTTCCTTTACCTTAGCTAGGGCTTACTGCCCCATCTGTAAAATGAAGGAAACAATAGTACGTATTTCATGGAGGGCAGTAATAGTATTTAAATGCAATAATGCATTGGAAGCTCCTGCTACAGGGCCTGGCACAAAGTAAGCCCTCAGTAACTTTGGCTGGATTTGTTATTATTGCTATAATTGTCAAGAGTGTTGTTTTGAAAAATGCAATTCTTTTCAACATTAGATGGTATTAGATAATTTGATGACATCAGATAATATAAATGAGATCAGTCTTTTTAACCTAATATCAGAAATAAGCAATACAGTATTTTTTAAAGTAATATAACTTCATACTTCAACACTTAGGAGTGGAAGAGATACAAAGAGATTTATGTCTTTGTAATGTACAAACTGACCACAGACAAGCCCACAGGTTCTTTTTCTCTATCCAGAGGTTCAGAAGAGCATCTTGATCTGTAAGTACAAGATCTTTTATGCTAAATGGCTTCTGGAATTCATTAAGGCTTTTCTAGGGAGATATTTGATGGATCACACAGGTAAAGAACTATCTTTTCATAGTGGGATTTCTGGTGATTACTGACTTCTAAAAACTTTTTTACAAATATAATTATAAGAAATTCCTAATGAATTGAACTGATGTCTGAGAGGCACTGACAGGCACATTCTTTGATGTCTCCCTTGTGGCCATGTAGGTGAGACCGGCATTGGCAAATCCACGTTAATGGACACTTTATTCAACACCAAATTTGAAAGTGACCCAGCTACTCACAATGAACCAGGTGTCCGGTTAAAAGCCAGAAGTTATGAGCTTCAGGAAAGCAATGTACGGCTGAAGCTAACCATCGTTGACACTGTGGGATTTGGAGACCAGATAAATAAAGATGACAGGTACAGCTTGGAATTATGTGGGGGATATAAATGGATCAGGAGATAGCAGGATCTGTCCTGGGTAAATTCAAAGGCTAAAAGCGTTCACTAATTATGGGGCTGGTTTTCTGTTGTCTACAAGATAAGACATTCTTTTCCTCTGAGAAATTTTAGAATGTTCTTCCCTGAGGTCAGAATCAGATAGCACAGTGGATTCCAGCTAGTGTAAGGAAAAAAGAAATTTCTTAGGAGGGATATCCTAGCTTAATGGCATTTTTCCAGGAGGGTCACAGAACTAGATTTGGGGCCTTTCCCAGTAGCAAAAGCAATCTAGAGAAACACCCAATGACCCAATAGAACAGTTAGCAGAAACCCCTGCCACTGGTCACCTTATACAATTTGGTCCCCGTGATGCTGGGGGGAGGCATCTGGAACCTCCGCCAGTTCTGTCCCAGAGTCGGAACAGTGTTACAGGACGACGTTCGTTGTCTTCACTGTCCCTTGCAAGGCCTCTGCTGGGTGTTGCTCACTCCCTGCTTCCGGGTCTTGTATGACTGCATCCACATGGTAGAAACTAAACCACATCTAGAATACTAGCTGCAAGGATGTGCGCAATGTGTTGTGTTTGCTTTGTTTGTTTGTATTTTGCAACTCTGCAAAATAAGAAGTCATTAAAGAGTCCAGGGATTTTAGAATGAGCAGCTGCCAGACTTTCCTAGTCCCTGAGGCACATTGGGATATTTGACTGAACCCCCAGATTCTTACAGATTTTTAATGAAAACTGAGAGCTGATGAGATTCTGCAAAAGAAGCCACAGCTCAGGATTTAGTGACCTGGGTGAGAGCCTGGATTTTGCCGTTGACAAGCTATGGGACCTTGGGGATTTATCTCACTTTAAGGGAATGTCACTAGATGAAATCTGACGTCTCTTCCAGTGTGATCCTGTATACAGTCCTATCCTTAGGCCTCAAGGCCTAAGGAAGGACACTGTGAAAAGCAAGGCCTGGAAGAGGGGTATGGTAATAATAGGGGGGTCAGCCTGTGTTTTGAGGTCTTTGGTCAAAGTGGTAGCAGCTCCTAAAACCTGAGTGAAGAAAGTATTTTTATGGAAGATCTGTTGGAAAAAATCTTGATTTCCAGCTGGCACAGGATCTTGCTATTGATGTTAGTGCTTGGTGTGAGGCACTGTGAGTCTTCTGTGAAGTGTCTGGTCTTCCTGTAGGCTGCTAAAGGGGTGGGCAGCATTCCTGGTGCAGAATTGCCAAATCAAATCTGAGTAATGATTGTGGATTCAGTCAAGCCTAATGGGGAATTGAGGTCAACTGGATTAAACTTTGCCTTTCTATCCAGTGGGGCTTGTTAAGCTTATAAAGTAATATATACAATAATCCATATATGTGGAAGAAAAGATGTGTTTCAGCTGCTTAAGAAATAAAATATTTCCTAAGAATTTTATTCCAATAGTTTGTATGTAGATAGAGGCTACTACCTTATGTATTCATTCATTAAAACTGGTTCACATAAACTTGAAGATATAATTATAATACAATAAGGTTTTATTTTTATTTTCAGAAAAACACATACTCAATTTATAAAGCCAAGTAAGTTTTGCTCTTCTCTCTGGGTTGCTGTATGCCTTTATTTGAGGGAAGCTGCTAATCTTAAAACTTTCTGGTGCTCAACCCATAGGTTTTAGCCTCAGTCACAAAATATTGTTCATGCTTCTTGAGATGATCCATCCTGTTCATCATTCTCAACATCAAATGTCTTAGGACTATTTTAAGCAACTGTATTCATTATCAAAAGAAGTTAGGGAAAGTTAAAATTTTCCCAGGCTCAAAGATGATTCTAGAAGGAGGCTTCCAGATACATTTTTGTGCAGTGACAACATTATGGGAATAAAGCACCGCATCAATAAGTTATGTTTGCTTAGGGCTCAGAAATTTTGTTAGTACCAGGGATTTTTTCTTTCTTTAAAAATTTTTTTTTCTTCAAAATAGTGTGTATTATATGTGTGTGTTTTGTAAAGAGGAACTTGAACTATTTTTTATCTAGAATGTGTATTTGCCAAGAGATATTTTAACTATCCCTGATGTATATGAGCACCATAGTAATTAGGAAGAAATATTTAATTCATTCTCTAGCTGAGCACTGAGCTCCATTTTATCTATAGAGCAATTTAAATGCTCCTCAATAAACATTGTCTGTAATAACAGGAGCAATTGTTAGATGTAGTGAGGAGGATTTTATTTTGCATCTGGTCAAAGTGAACTATCTGTACATTGTGTGGGGTGGGGACAGCTAAGCTCAGACCCTGCAGCTGGGCTGTTGCTTTTCATTTATGATCTCAATGCCAAGGAATGATGGAGAGGTTACTGCCTGAAGGCTGATTGTAATGCCAAGTGAAATAGATGAAGGGAAAGCCTTGGCAACAAGAAAAAGAGCACAGGTGCATTGTGGGAGCCGGAGAGAGAGCCAGGGGTTCCTGGTCATCGGGCAGTCAGAGTGTACTCAGAGCAAGACATACTTCCATCTCTCCAACCCACACAGATTTCTCTTTGGGGTTAGAGAATGTTATGTTTGTGCACTCCAGTTGGAAGGCAGTAACTGGACCTTTTCAGGGTCCCTTTCTACAGGAATAAGAACCGTCTTCCAGCATCTTGCCACTAAGATTCCATGTGCTCTTCTGGCTCGGAGTCATTGCCTCAGTGCTGCCACTGAATTGCCTGTTCCCTATGTGAGGATTTTCCTTCAGCCTGGTGGATTTTCACTGGCCAGCACTGAATAGCAAGTGGCTGCTACAATACCAATTATCATATTTGCAGCTGGAGGTCCCTTTAAGAAATTATCTGACTCATTTGGGTCAAATAATAGTTTCCAAGGAGATTCAGAAGAGAGGAAGTGTGATATTAACCTAACCTAGATACCAAATAATTTTTTTTTTCTTCTGAAATTTCTTGACAGCTGTTGCATAACCTCTTTAAATGGCATTTAGAACTCTGTGCCCCAGAAGGCATTGTTGACACTGTTGACTCCAAACCCAAGTGACTATTGTTTAAAAAAAACTTTTTTCAGACAATCTGCTTCCATAAAAGAATTGGAAGTAAAGTATGCATTTTTGCATTGATATGTAACGATATGGGAAGCAATGTACCGTTTCTCTAAACCCATGATTATTTTTACTGCTTTGGGGACGAGGCAAGCTTTTCTGCCGTGAATGCAGGACTTCAAGAATGTCCCAGCTTGTTTATATGGACTTCAGTCATGTTAGCATTCCTGCATGAGTATCTGCCTGGGACTGGGCTGGCTAGAAGGGGGCAGGAAGAGAGATCTGGTAAGGTTTCCTGTTATGTTTAGGAGCATGATTAACTCTTCATGGTTTAAGGGCTTCCTTGTTTTTGCTGTCTGTACTCTTCAGTGAAGAAGGAAAGAGGTCTGGAGAAGGTAAACCAACTTTTGTCATAGAACTGGAAGTAGAATAATTCATTTATCCCACATTTGGAAGATGGGAGCAAGAATGTCAATGGCATATCGCTAACTATAATGATAATTAGCCCTGAAAAGCGTGAATAATTAAAATCCTCAAACTCACCAAATCTTTATATCAGAGTCATAAAATGGTAGTGAAGTGTGGACCATTTGGTCTTTAATTTCTTTTTTTACCATGCTTTCTGATGGAGAGAGTTGAGAGATAAGGAAAACTAACTAACAGCAAGATAGAGACAAATATATGCATGGTAGGTATCTGGCCGTATATAAAATGGAGAGTCCGTCCCTGAACAATGCCATTGGTTCTTTTGGAAGAATGATCAGTGGATAACTTGGGTGGATAGAAAACATAGCATAAAATATTTCTCCCATCAGTTTTGGGTCAACGTTTATATTTTGTTGTGAATTCTGTGGCTGGAGGTATATGAAAAGAAATGAGTTGTGGGTAAAAAGGGCCATCCCCAAGGATTGAGGAATGTAAGTGAGGAATGTAAGGATTAGATTTGATTTGCCTTCCTTCACTTTCCCCTGCTTTGTATGGCTGCAACCCAGAGAAGTTGGAATTGGCCAAACAAAAAACAAATGGGTATCCTTTCTATAAGAATGGAAAAGCAAAAAGCAAAATTGGCATTAAACCTCCTTATCTTTATGACTGACTGTAGCTAAGAAGTAGAAAGGAGTAGGAGAAGAGGGGTAGGCAATTTGTTTAAAGGATTGTGAAGGGGATTACAAAACCACTGGCTGACTTAAACACAGGGAATCATGATTCTGGTAAGTAGTTCTGAAATACATTTCTTTAATTTGTTCATAATAGTTGGAAGGTAAAATTGGTGGAATTTCATGCTGGATTGTGTGGGGGAGGTAGAAGAGGAGATCCCCGGGTGTTACAGGTGGAGGTACCCTTCGCCAAGCAAAGGAAAACAGGGAGATGGTTTGGGGGCAAGATGAAGAGTCCCACCCTGGACACACTTAGAAGAGCCAATGCAGATAACCTTGTAAGCAGGTCGATGGATGGGGCTGTGAAACGTGGGTGGCTGATCTGGGCTACAAGCAGAGATTTGTGATTTATCAACGCTTAGACGGTAAGTAAAAACACAGGGATAAATGGATTTTCCAGGGAGATCACATAAAGGGGAAAAAAGGAGATTGGAAGGTTGTCTAGAACTCCCTGATAGGGGAAGGCAGAAGGAAGCTTGAGGTGTAAGAGAAAAAAAGTTTTCTTTGGATATATTGAATCCAGGGCAGAAGACATTATGGAGATGTTATGCCTCCATAATCTTGGAGGATCACAATCAACACCAGAGGCAAGAGGGGAATTGATAGAAAGCAGAAACCTCTGTGGACCACTGCTGGGGAGGAGGTGCTGAGAAGCTAAAATTCAGGAACTAGTGAGGCAGGAAGGAGCAATTGCTTGTGAGCTGCTTTTCCTTTCCTATCCTTTCCTAAGAGGGTGCTGGAGAGAGAGGCTGGTTCCCCAAACTTATGCCTCAGTGTGAGGAGACTGGAAGATCAGGCCCTGGGCTGTGACATGGGTGGACCTTGGTGAAGTGCCCCGGTCCACTTCCCTACAGGGCATGAGCACAGTAGGATGCCGGGATGGTTACCATGGGACCCAGTGAGTGTAAGGTTACCCCCACCCCCCACCCCTGCAACTTTCTCAAAAGCCAGGCTTGCTTTTCTCTTGTTTGTTGTTGTTGTTCTTTTTTTTTTTTTTTTTTTTTTTAAATATGTTACTGTGAAATAGTTATATCTTACTTTTATGTGCTAGTCCTTTACATATGCTCTCTTATACAGGTACTTTTGTGTCTGTCATAATAGCTCTCTGATACAGGTACTTTTTTATCCTTGAGTTACCTATGAGGAAATTGAGACAGAGAAGTTTAGGAACTCGCCCAAAGTCACATATCTTGTAAGTTGTGGGGTTGGAGTCCATCTCTCTTGAATCCATGCTTCTAACCACTATCCTATAATATTATTACTATTATTTATAATACCTGCCTGTGTTTTGAAAGTGGAAAGCATAGAAGAAACTGATCACTGTTCATTCTTTCTATGGAATGTATTGGCATTTCTTTTGTTCTGTTTAGAACTTTACTTACTGAGGCGTATCCTACTTTTTCTTTAAACCACTAGAGATTTTGTCTGCTCAGACTGAATCAGTGGATTGTGATGAATCACCAAGGAAAAATATCAAAAAACTTTCTGAGTGCTTTTGGTTTTTGGTTATAAATGTGTTTTTTGTTTTGTGTGGTTTTTTTTTTTCTCTTAGGGTATGTGCTGTCATCTTATTTGTTCCCTTTAAGGGTTTCAGTTTAACATAGGAGTTGGGGGAGTAGAGTGTTGAAAGGTTTTTATTTTTCTTAAAGCATAAGTCACCTCAGCACATAATAAGCTTGGGGAGAATTAACCCATTGTGTTCCTAGTAACCCAGTCTCACTGCTGCTAACACTGGCTTCTCCTGAGCAGTCCCCTGGAGACCTGAAAGTTTATAGCTTTTCCACAGCAACCTACCTAATGTACTGCTTAGTCCTTAGAGAACATATGGCTTATTGAATGCATATTCCCAATATGTTATTAATGATGATGGTCCATTAATAGAATCCTACATAATTATTCAAAACCAATTTGAATTATGATTTGGTGAGAAGAAAGGGTTACAAAGTTTACCTTCAAATCATAAAAGTTTAGAGTTGGAAATAATCCTGAAGCTGTAATGACCCAGGAGCACAGGGCTAGATGAGAACACAGAGTCCCTCATCTCTGGAGGAATGGGACAGAGGACCGGGGAAGAGATCCCATTAGGTGATGCCATACCTTGAAATCAAAAACCACTTTCCTTTCATGTACCAAAGTCAGTCATTTGGTAGTAGCTGTCAAAATCATTTAGACAGATTTTGAGACTCCCAATTTGGCCCAGCAGGAAAGAATGCCACAGTCTCTTAGTAATGTCTTCCATGGGAAGTGACAGCATGGTTCACATATTTATAATCTCTGTTTTAAAGGATGAAGGTTAGCCAGGAGAATACTAGGAAGGAGACTGTTCCGGGTAGGGGGGCTAGCATGAACCGGGACATGGAGGCAGATGAAAGCTCCATCTCTGAGGCTGCTACATGTAGCTGTGTGTGACCAGGACAGAAACGGTGAGCCAGGGAGGGAGTGGAAGAGAGGAGCTAGAGAGATATTCAGGGACCAGATAATGGGGATGCCCAGCTAAGGAACTGGGACTTCAGTCTTAGGAGAGGGAACCATTGAAGACCTGACTGCCTGCATGGAACTGTACAAGAGGTTAAGACTAGAAATATGTGGATTTGAAGATGTGTTTTAAAAAAACATTCTTGGGGCGCCTGGGTGGCTTAGTCGGTTAAGCGTCCGACTTTCGCTTAGGTCATGATCTCGCGGTTCGTGGGTTCGAGCCCCGCGTCGGGCTCTGTGCTGACTGCCAGCTCAGAGCCTGGAGCCTGTTTCTGTCTGTGAATCCCTCTCTCTCTGACCCTCCCCTGCTCACACTGTCTCTCTCTCTCTCTCCTAGAAATAAATAAAATATTTAAAAAAAATAAAAAAACATTCTTATGCCTTCTAGCTATAAGCCAATAGTGGAGTATATTGATGCTCAATTTGAGGCCTACTTGCAAGAGGAATTGAAGATCAAACGTTCTCTCTTCAACTACCACGACACCAGGATCCACGCCTGCCTCTACTTCATCGCCCCTACTGGTCACTCCCTGAAGTCTCTGGACCTAGTCACCATGAAAAAGCTGGACAGCAAGGTACTCCCTGCCACTCTGGTGACTATCCACTCGCCTTTCGGATCACCTTTATATGAAGGCCCTGATTGATTTTCTTCTTTTAACATAATTAGGGTTGTTTTGTTTTACAAGACTGTTCATCATTACAGTTTTAGGTTCACAGCAAAATTAAGAGGCAAGTACAGATATTCCTTTATACTCCTGCCCCGACACCAACACCCCCACCTGATGGGTCCCATTGATGGGTTGTTACAGTCAACGCATCTGTGTTGACATACCATAATCACCCAAAGTCCATTATTTACACTAGGGTTGCCTGTTAGTGCTGTACAGCCCATGGGCTCAGACAGCCCTACAAAGGCCTGTATCATGGTAGCATACAAAGCAGTTTTCCTGCTCCAAAACTCCTCTCTGCTCTTGCCTATTCATCCCTCCCCCTTCCTCCAACCCCGTAATTGTCTTTTCTGGTTTACAGAACAATAGGGTTTAGCAATGTGAGAAAAATGCTTCAAAACCTCTGGATGTTAGGCTAAACAAAATAAAACAAACAAATAAAACCATGGAGCTCTTTACCAAGTATTTTCAGTTCTTAAATTAGCAACAGCGGATGCTCTCATGAAGGTTGGAGAATTATATAGTGGAGACATCTAAATGGTCATAGGAAGGGTTAAATTTAGGGAGATTGAGATGTAAAGTCACAGTTTGTTTACTCTCTTAAAAGCTTCTCTAAATTTGTTTTAAAGGTTTTTAAAGGGTTGGCTTTAATATGACATTTTGAGTGGAGGGAAAATAAAGGTGTTAATTTTTTTCCTTATGTCATAAGGACAGTCCAGCTTCTTAGATTTAAAACTAAATTGCACCCATATCTTTTTAAAAAGTGGTTTCAGGGACGTCTGGGTGGCTCAGTCAGTTAAGCATCTGACTTTAGCTCAGGTCATGATCTCATGGCTCGTGGGTTTGAGCCCCATATCGGGCTCTCTGCTGACAGCTCAGAGCCTGGAGCCTGCTTCAGATTCTGTGTCTCCTTCTCTCTCTGCCCCTCCCCCTCACATGCTCTGTCTCTGTCTCTCAAAAATAAATAAATACTAAAAAAATTTTTTAAATAAAAACTGGTTTCAGTTTGACACCTGGGCTTTTCACATTAATACCCTGTCCCTTTCACAACTTTTGAGGAAAGCTACTGATAAATTTGATAACATTAAGTGATCTACTTTACAATTAATTTGATTTTTCATTTTGGAATAAATACAAGGCAGTATATTCTGAAACGAAGAAGCAAATGACCAGGAAAACAACCAGAAAAGGAAGCTGTGGTATTTTTTTAACCGCCTTTGGAGTTCAATAAAAAGTTGCATCCTCTTTAGAGGGTTTTGTTGGGTGTTATGTTTTGTCCAAACAATGCTGTTTAAAAGATGCTTTCTCTCCAGAGGAACATAATGGAGGCCAGTCCCCAAGGCCTCTGTCTGAACTGGCCACCGAATGGGCTGTAGTGGCTGACACAGAGCCAGGTTCCTTGGGCTTCCAGAATGCACAGACACCTTGGTTTACAGAAAAATGGTCTAGTGGTGGGAAGGGACTATTGCAGCTGGAGGACTCTCGGGAGAATAAATAGAATCCTTTTCCTTGCCTTTGTTTCAGCAACAGCGAGCCACGGGCGGGCAGTGGAGGGCACTGGGGCTTCCCGTGCTGCCGTGTCCTTAGAACAGGGCTGGAGTGGGGCAGAGATGGAGGTGGTGTCCTAACTGAGGCCACGTTTGTAGACCAAGCCTGCAAATATTCAACAATAGGGTTATGCTTAGTAGAGTTGCTTTAAAAAAGGGAAAGAAAATAAGGCAAATAAACACAGCTGGGAAAAAAAAGTCCCTGAAAACAGGTTAAACTGCTTTTAAAGAACCGATACTGCTGGATAGCATCTTAAAATGGTATTTGCAAAGAGTTGTTTATACAAGTGAAGAGTTAAGGCGCTTAAGTATATATATCATAAACATATGATAATTTCAGAAATGATTTCCAAGCACCTGCCACTGAGGAAGAAGAAGTTTTAAATCTAAATTGCTTGGGGCGTCTATCTACTCTGAACAACTTGGCCAAGAAAGTATGAACCTCTGCTATTCTGTCCATGTAATATTCACTGAATACTAAGTGTGTCCAGAAGAACCAGCAAGAACAATGGGAAAGTGTTTTGTTCCTCAGGCCCTGACCCAGACATATCCCCACCATTAGTGTTTCTCTTGTTGGATGAGCCCAAGCATGATGAGGTGGGAGTGGGTGGAGGAATAGGTGAAGAATAGGTTATTTTATCCACATGTCTTCTCATTGTATCAGAGATTTGGCTCTTGGAATAAAAGAAGCAAAGGAGTGCAGACATGACCAAGAAAACCTCTCTAAAGACTGCCTCTTCTCTTGCTAGTGTGGCCTTCTCACTGAGTCTGTCCCCCTTTCCCCTGAGCTGGGTGGAGAGCATGGCCCCAGGTATCGGATGTCAGTAGTGTCTTACTGAAATCGCTCTGTGGCTACCAGGGAGTAGAAGAAAGTTAACGATTTTTTAAAAATGTGCTGTGTGGGCAGTGCTGGGCAAAGTTGGGAGAATGACCCACTTTGGGGTTTGAGGCTTGAGCTTAAGGGTGTCCTCAGCTCTAACGCTGGGCTTTCTGCCACTGTTGTCAAACTCTGCCTTCTCCCTGGTCTTTGTAGCCAGTGCTCTGAAAACGAGCCTTTGACGCTAGATCTCATTCTGACATGAAGTAATGCGATAGAAGCCGGTGTGTCAAAAGAATTAGTGGGTGTGATTTTGAAAATTTTAAAAGTAGGTGCAGCTGTTTTTGTTCTGGGATAATACATAGGTTCTCTACTCCTAGTAGTCATTAGAAAAAAAAGAAAGGATGTTATCCTGCATAGAGATGAATATTCCACTATTCTAACACAATCTTTGCTATTGCACTGTGAGGAACACGCAAAAATCAAGCTTCTAAAGTAGCTGGGAGGGGTCTCAAAGGAGTGGTTGGTTATTCAAAGAATAGGCTTCTTTGTTATCGCTATTTGTCATAGAGTAACACTTCCTTCTAGTCTGTTTAAAAAAAAAAAAAATGAGGTAGCACAGAAGAGGAAATTACAAGCATGCTCTCAGTGCCGGATGGGAGGAAGTAAAAGTGTTCACAGATGGAGCTAAAAGATTATCCCATATCTTCTTAATTTTGCCTCTGGGCAGAAAGCCTTATTTTCAATATCTATTTTTTACGTGAAGTTTTAAAACTTTTGTTATTTGTTGTTTCCCTCGTTTGTCTTATTTTTCTTCTATTGGAATTGTATATAAAATGGATGTGTTTGTTTTATAGGTGAACATCATTCCAATAATTGCAAAAGCTGACACGATTGCCAAAAATGAATTGCACAAATTCAAGAGTAAAATCATGAGTGAACTAGTCAGCAATGGAGTCCAGATATATCAGTTCCCCACAGATGAAGAAACAGTGGCAGAGATTAATGCAACAATGAGTGTAAGTCCTAAAATTAGGAAGAACCTACCAGAAATTGTCCGGAAAGCTTTTCTTGGTAGCAACATTGTAGAGTGACTGGGAACTGGACCAGGAATTGGATTCTTTAGTGGTGCCCAGCTCTGCCACGATGGCAAGCCATTTAACCACCCCGCTCCTCAGTGTCTCCATCCATCAAATGGGAAAGTTAGACAAGCCCATGTTTAGTTTCCTTCCCGCTCCAACAGGCAGGATTTTTACAGCAGATCTCTTGGGAAGGGAATGCCAGCCCAGGACCGTCTCACACAAAGCAGCTTAAAGGAACTAGAGCTCTACTTGTTTCTGCCGTTGTTGGCAGAAATATCTCCACCCGCCTTACTTTTGCTTCTGGGATGGGTTCCTGCCTTTCCCTCTATTCTGTTTCCCGAATCATTAGGTTAACTGGCAGTTGAGGGTATAATTTCTCCACATCACAGGCAGGATGGTCACAAGACAACTGAGTAAAGCTTCAGCAATTCTAAGTGCCCCTGTGGTGTGATGTCCATGTCCTCCATGCTGCCTACTCATACCCCAATCTTTCCCTCTGCCTCTTTGTGTACCTCACAGCCATGGCTCAACTCTGGATCACAGTTCCTATACACTTTTTTTTTTTTCATTTGGGAATGAGTAACTTGTGTAAAACTAGCATCCTTTGCACATGTTAGATGGTTGATGACTTGGAATTTTTAAAATTGTAGGTTAGCTTCTGTGAAATATAATTAGAAGCTATTAAATAAGTTGCCTTCCCCCAAATACATGCTAAAAGTTGATTCAAAAGCATGCTGGCGGCAGCAGAAGTCAGTCTAGAGTTTTAAATTGTGGTAAGTTGAGCTGTGTTCTACTTTCCTTAGATCTGATCATGTAAAGTGTCTAATGAAGTCATTATTAAATGCCCTAAAGATACTCTTTGTTTTTTAACAGCCTTATTGAGATATAATTGATGAACTGCACAATTTACCCATTTAAAGCATACAGTTCAGTGGTATTTAGTATATTCAGAGTTGTGCAACCATTGCCACCATTAATTTTAGAGCCTTTTCGTCACCCGAAAAAGAAATCGTGTACCTTTTAGCTGTCAACCCTCTAACCATTCCAACCCTAGGCAACCACTCCTCTACTTTCTTGTCTCTATAGTTTTGCCTTTTCTGGACATTTCATATTAAGGGACTCAGACTGAAGGTCATCTAGAGAATTAAATGGCTTGCTCAAAGCAGCACTGAAATTTCAACCCTGGTCCCAGTTTTGCGTTGTGTGCGATCATAATTTAGGAGAACAGAGATATTTTACAAAATTGTTTCTTCAGTTCGGCATATGGACTTTTCTATAAAGCACTGTTATCATTTATAGAGGAATTTCTTCCTTAAATTCCCAATATGACTAGGACTTTGGAAGCAAATGTAACTTCTCCCCTGTCTGGGGCTCTTGGTATGAATTCAAAATAGAGGAGCCCATTAGAGCAGAAATCATCCGTCTCCACTCTGCTCTAGTCAGCTCACACTCAGAGATGTATGACCTACTCTGGTTGTCTTACTCCTGTGTTCAGGATAGCAAAGGCTCTGGAATTTCTGGAAACTGGAGAGCAGATTCTTCCTGGGAAGATGGCATGAGGGGTATGAAAGGAAGGTTGTCATGAGGGAGGTTGACTGTTCTCATTCAAAAGGCAGAACTGAGGGGTAGCGAGGGGTTTAGGCCCAGCAAGAACGTTTGGCCATCAGTGCCACCGCAGCACAGCAAGCACCCTGTGGAAGGAGCAAGTTCCTATCACAGGGGGGTGGACAACAGATTCCATATTAGAGACTGTAGAAGTAGGATCCAAATGCATAACATGTGAGGTCTCTTCCATGTCTAAAATTCTCTAGTTATGGGTACTGAGAGCTTCATAATACTCATAGCATCGGACATTTTTGACATTTATGGAGTATTCACTGTGCATCAGCCACTCTGAGGCTTTATTTACATCTAGTCCCCATACCAATCCCACAGGTAGGTGCTATTATTATCCCTAACTCGCATGTGAGGAAACTGCAGCCTGGCACCTCACATGGCCCAGCCATCAGCAGTGCAGGAGGACTTGAATGCTGGCAGCTTGGCTCCAGTGCCAGCAGAGCAGTGTGCCTGTTCTATAGTGTCGTCAGAGCCCCGGCTGAGATAGCACTATTTCATTCTGCTGTTAGAACTGCAGTTTGGGGTGTCAACGTAGGATTCAAAAAATAACAGGAGTGAATATTGTCTAATTTTCTCTTTATATCTCTCCCCATCATTTTAAATCATTTTGGGTGGTCATGCAGCTAAATTTGTGTTAAATATCTTGGAAAGAAAATACCCATGGGGATGCCTGGGTGGCTCAGTCAGTTAGGCATGCGACTTTGGCTCAGGTCGTGATCTTGTAGTTCAGGGGTTTGAGTCCCACATCAGGCTCTTTGCTGACAGCTCGGAGCTTGGAGCCTGCTTAAGTCTCTTCCTTGCCGACAGTTCCTGGTGATGAAATTCCATATGATAGGTGGAAAACAGAGTTCATTGGCAGTTGCTTTTGTCACTCAGTGGGAGTGGAGAAAACTCTTTCCTTTGTCATTACAGCAGAAGGTTGGCCAAATGGGTACTGTGGCTCCTCAATTTCAGGGAACACATTACAGTTCCAGACTTGGAGTCTGTGAAAGGAATATGCTTTCTTTCCTTCCTACAGAGTGTGAGAGGAAGCAGAAAATTCAAATATCTTGAGCATCAGATGAAATACCACCTGGGCAGCTTGGGGTGAGGGTTATGTCCTCTGTAGGATTTGCTTATAAAACATTCTTGTCTTTCTCACCTTACCTGCAGTAGGGGAGCAGTGGATTGAGGAACTGAGATAATAATTCTCAGAACAACCACTTCAGATCTTATTCTTATATCCTCATAGAAAAAAGATGGAATTACTGTCCCTACCACCCCCACTCCCAGAATATAGGCATAGCTACCAAATAAACCAATGTGAAATAGTTGTCTTGAAGACCACCTCTGTTTGAGAGTCTGGGTTGCAAGGCTTGGGCCAATAATTTGGGCTGAAGTGTAGTTCTGACTTGAATTTTGTGCAGTGGTCAACTGTAAAGTAATGCAATTTAATAGAAATATAATATGAACCACACAAACAATTTTAATACTTCCCAGTAGTCACATTAAAAAAAGGTAAAAAGAAATGTGAAATTAATTAAAAAACTTATTTAACTGAATATATTTAAAATCATCATTTCAATATGCAATCAATATAAAAATTAATGAGATATTTTCATCGTAAGTCTTTGACATCCAATGTATATTTTACAGTTAAAGCACATCCCAATTTGGAAGCATACCCAAATTAGTCCTAACACACTTGAAAAATTTTCAATAGGAAGTAAGTACCAAAAAGATAATTTTCCTCTAATGTTTGCATCTGCATTGAGCAAACTAGGTTTTTCTTAGAAGATTTAAGTTTAAAGCAAAATGAAGGACAGTCCAAAAACAATACAGTTTTATTTAATGGAAAAATATTTTATGTTTTATTTTTAAATCTAAATGTAAATTAATTAAAATTAAATAAAATTGGGGCATCTGCATAGCTCAGTTGGTTAAACCTCCAACTCTTAATTTCAACTTAGGTCATGATCTCACGGTTTGAGAGTTTGAGTCCCACATTGGGCTCTGTGCTGTCAGTGCAGGGCCTGCTTGGGATTCCCTCTCCCTCTCAAGAAAAAAAAAAAAAATAACTCTACTTGAACAAAAAAGAAACAAGTAAGTAAAAACTAAAAATTCAGTTTCTTGATCTCACAAGCCCCATTTCAAGTGCTCAGTGGCCACATATATTAGTGGCTACAGTTGGACAACATGTGTCTGCAGCTTCCTGTGTGGTTACAAAGACACCTAGTTTCCTTTGAATCTAGCTCATGCCACATAATTGGTATGTGGTCGCGGGAGGGGTGGGGTACACGAAGCCCACCCCCATTGGCCTGCAGAATTTCCTCCCTCTTCTACCTGCCCTCCCCTTTGTCTCCCCCAACTAAGTGAGGCTGGCGGAAGGGGTGGAGCCTAGGCGGGTTGGACAGAACCGGGCTGGACAGGACCTGGAGAAGGTAACCACTCTGTCCTTGTGTTGCCCCTCAGGTCCATCTCCCATTTGCCGTGGTTGGCAGCACTGAAGAAGTGAAGATCGGCAACAAGATGGCCAAGGCCAGGCAGTACCCCTGGGGTGTGGTGCAGGGTACGTACACACTAGGGGGAAAGGGGTTCCCCGCATTTAACACCTGTGGTGACTGGCCCCGCTTCTTCCTTCTGCTCTGTTTGGGGAGGTTTTGGGGGAGGTCCTCAACCCTAGGACAAGGGGAGGGTAGAACACATGACAGTTGTGATGTGAGGAAGCAAAACCCTGTGACCAGGTAGGTAGACGGTGGGGAGAAGTAGCCGAGGGCCCTACGGCCAGTGAGACAGCCCCTTGAGAATGTTGGCTTGTGTGGCAAATTGAGTATAATTTCCTGGTAGAAAAGAGCTCTTCCCTAGAAGTTTCAACCACTTTCATACCAGTTTCATCAGAAAAGTATAAGAAAGCTGCAAAAGGTTTCTTGTAAACAAGCAGATACTTGTTTCTCTGTTATCTCTGGAAAATTTGTCTTCCAATTAAGTGTTACCTCAATGAGTATCTGAGAATTATGACCTATTTGGTGCTGGGGGACATGATCTCCGTCTCTGGCCTGAAGAAGCTTCCCACGTGTCACTTTGATGGGCGAGGACCCTATCACCTGCCTTCGTATGTTTTGAGGGAGCATGTCCAATAGTATAGGTTAAGTAGGATGGCTGTAGAAAGTTTGGTAGTTTAAGATCTGTCAGTCCTCCTTTTCTTTTGTTTTGAATAAAGGCAGTAAATCTGTGAGAAGAGAGAAGAATTTGTACCTTTCAGATCTCTAAGAAAGTTACCATTTTTATGAATCTTACATAGTTCTCTCTACTAAAGCTTTGTTCATAGTGCTAATGAAATAAAAGGAAGTGGTATGTAAAACCTGCCTTGTGCACTTCCAGGGAGCATGGAGTAGTGGAAATAGACCTGGCTTTGCAGCCAGATGTTGTGTTTGAATGTAGATTCTGCTCCCCGTACTCAGGAAGTCAGCTTCCTTATCAAAGCCTTGCTTCTGCACCTACAAGGCAAGAGTCACAATGCCTACTTGGGAGAATTGTTCTGAAGGATAAAGACAGTATTTATAAAGTTCCTCCCGCAATGCCCTGCCCTGAGCAGGCACTCTGTAATCACTGTTGTCATCAGTATTATGGTCCGCATTATCGAAAATCTTGTCCTCATTGGGAATGTAAGGCGAATCCAGTGAAGGGTCTTCACACGGCTTTGAGATTTTAGGAGCAATGGTGATAACTTCTTGAAAGTGTCCCTTCAGATTTTCAGGGATGTCATTGCTGATAGCTGCTCCCACCTTCCCATGTCTTGCAGTTGAGAATGAAAACCACTGTGATTTTGTGAAACTTCGGGAGATGCTGATCCGCGTGAACATGGAAGATTTGCGAGAACAGACTCACACCCGCCATTATGAATTGTATCGGCGCTGTAAACTTGAGGAGATGGGGTTCAAGGACACAGACCCTGACAGCAAGCCCTTCAGGTATGAGGCACCTGGCAATCAGCTGTTTCCCAGACAGTGGCTTGAATGGTATGCTGGTGCATCACTAAAATGCTTGTTGGATTGAGATAGCAGTGATGGAGTGACCTGATGGGGACACGTTAGTAAGCATAATTGCCAGGCATTGTGATAACCCGTTTATTGGTATTCTCTCAACTAAGCCATGTAGTTGATGACATTATTATCCTCATTTTACAGATGAGGAAACTAAGGCACTGAAAGTGTAAACAACCGACCCAAAGTCCTACAAGTAGGAAGTGATGGGGTGAGTTTTGAACCCCTGCTCTTAATCATTACACTCACAGAGGCACAGAACCTGGTCCAGGCATTTAAAGTGGTCCAGGCTGCTCGGTACAGTTTGCTCCGTTCATGGTTGCCAGCCAGGTTTCCCTTCCCAGGGCTCTTACTAGCTCTCCGTGTTTCAGTACAATGCTCACAACCAATGAGGAAGAAAGGGAGTAACTTTTAGAAAGTTTCTTGTGTTTTTCCACATCATCAATGGATAGAGATGAAGTGGCAAAATGTGAAGGGGAGAATTAATGCAGAATTAGTGGCCCAGCAAAGGCCCAGTTGCTGTTAGAACCTAGGCGTGGTAGATGGGCGGCAGGGGCTGAGTACCTTGGCCACAGAGCAGTGACGGAAGGCAGGGCCGCGAGGCCAAATTTGCCACCTGTGGGCCCAGGAGAGGATTGCGTTGTCCAGACTGGGCCCACGCTGGGTCTTAATGGAGATTTCAGGTGAGGTGATGTGAGGTGTGTCTGGGCACAATTAGAGGCTGCAGTTCCTGGGCAAAGACGGTTTTCTCCTCTGCTGTCTCTGTTTTTGGCATTTAATGTTTTTTTTGTTGTTGTTTTGTTTTGTTTTGTTTTTAATTTCTAGGAGAGAGAGAGACAGCATGAGCAGGGAAGGGTCAGAGAGAGAGGGAGTCACAGATTTCACAGACTGAAACAGGCTCCAGGCTCTGAGCTGGCAGTCAGCACAGAGCCCGACGCGGGGCTTGAACCCACGAACAGCGAGATCACGACCTAAGCGAAGGTCGGACGCTTAACCGACTAAGCCACCCAGGCGCCCCCATTTTTGGCATTTAAATTAAAATACCTCCTGCAAGCCCAGGGTAACAGCGCACCAGGAGGAGGTGTTGCTGGGTGGGTCCAGCAGGCTCTTGAAGGCCTGGCCGAGCTGGGTCCAGCCTACTGCCGTGGCCTCTCTCACTTCAGGGACTTTAGGATGGTAGCAGATGTCCTCCTTTTGACTTGTAGAGAATATGCTTTATTCATACATCTTCCATGTCCCATTTGGTTCCATTTCTTCTGGCTTAAGGTTTCCCTTTGTTTTGTTTTTACATCTCACTGTATTTATTTTTTTATTGAGGTATAATTAACATACAGTATAATATTAGTTTCAAATGTACAACACCGTGATTCAGTAATTCTATACATTCCTCAGTGGTCACTGTCTGTCACCAGACAACTTTATTACAATATCATTGACTATATTCCTTATGCTGTACTTTTCCTCTCCATGACTGACTTATTGTATAACTGGGAGTTTGTACCTCTGAATCCTCTTTACCTCTTACACCCATTCCTCTGACCCATTGCCCCTCTGGCAACCACCAGTCTGTTCTTCATACTTAAGAATCTGATTTTTGTTTGTTTGTTACTTTGTTCATTTATTTTGTTTTTTAGATTCCACATATAAGTGAAATCATATGGTATTTGTCTTTCTCTGCTCAACTTAATTTCACTTAACGTAAGATGGATCCTCTGGGTCCATCCATGTCGTTACAAATAACAATGAGTAATATTCCATTGTGTATACATGCCACATTTTCTTTACCCACTCATTTATCGATGGGCACTTAGGTCCCTTCCATATCTTGGCTATTGTAAATAATGCAGTAAACATAAGGTACATATATTTTTTCTAAGTAATATTTTTATTTTCATTGGAGAAACAATGGTAGAATTGCTAGATTATATGGTATTTCTGTTTTTAATTGTTTGAGGAGCCTCCATACTGTTCACCACAGTGGCTGCACCAATTTACATCCCCACCAAAAGTGTGTGAGGGTTCCCTTTTTCTCTACGTCCTCACCACTGGTTGTTATTTTTTGTCGTTTTGATACTAGCCATTTTGAAAAGCATAAGGTGATATCTCATTGTGGTTTTGATTAGTATTTCCCTGATGATTAGTGATGTTGAGCATCTTTTCATGTGTCTGTTGGCCATCTGTATGTCTTCTTTGGGAAAATGTCTATATAGGTCCTCTGCCCCTTTTCAATTGGATTTTTTTTTTTTTTTTTTTTTGGTGTTGAGTTGTATAAGCTCTTCATATATTTTGGATGTTAACTCCTTATCAGCTATTTCATTTGCACATATTTTCTCCCATTCAGTAGGTTACCTTGTCATTTTGTTGATTTCCTTTGCTATGCAAAAGTTTTTTATTTTTGATGTAGTCCAAATAGTTTATTTTTGCTTTTGTTTCCCTTGCCTGAGGAAACACATCTAGAAAGAACAAAACTGGAGGTATCCTAATCCCAGATTGCAAGATATACTACGAAGCTTTAGTAATTGAAACAGTGTGGTACTGGCATAATGATAGAGCCGTAGATCAGTGGAACAGTTAGAGATCCTAGAAATAAACTCACCTGTCTATGGTCAGAATCTATGACAAAGGAGGCAAGAATATACAATGGGGAAAAGACTGTCTCTTCAATAAATGGTGTGGGGAAAACTAGGCAGCTACGTGCAAAAGAATGAAACTGGACCACTTTTTCACACCATACATAAAAATAAACTCAAAATGGATGAAAGGCCCAAATGTGAGTCCTGAAACCATGAAACTCCTGGAAGAGACAGGCAGTCTCTCTGATGTTGGCAGTAGCAACATTATGTAGATGTCTCAAACCTTCCCTCTGAGGCATTTCCAGCACCCCCAGCTCTTCTAGGAGCCTGGGACCACACTGAAGGGGTTCAGTGAGGGGACCCTGCATGAAGGATGCCACAATTAAGGAGAAGCAAAAGCTGCAGCTGATTTGAGTGGTTTCCCAAAATTTCGTCTTGAAAGTCATCAGTCCCAGATGCTGTGAAATTTTTTTTTTCCATATGAATTTTGGGTGAGCTGGGAGGAGTATAAGTATATTCTCAGAGGATTTCTATGTGGGTGTACAGTGAGGTCCATCCTTCCTTTGAGCATCCAGTGTCCCCTCTTTGTCCTCCAAGCTCCTCTTGTGTTTACAAAGCACAGAGTAATCTCTAAGTCAAGGCTAGTAAGGGGCAGCCATCACCTGAATGTATCGTACAGCACGAAATAAAACCAGGGGCTGGACGAGCACAATAACAGGCTGTACGAAGGCCCTGGCAGTACATCGGAGCCAGTGAAGCTAACTGAGTGTGTCCTTGGTGGTGTCCTTAACCTGTCTCACTTTAGAGTTGTGTCTTTGTCGTCCTGTGGCAGATTCTGGGTATCTGGCTGTCTACCTACCTATCCAGGTGTCAGCTTGCTTTCTCCTGTGCCCATCTTCCCACCTGCTGCCCTGCAGGCTTCAGCCCAGCCAGAGCAGCGTGCCTTCTCTGGACCCAGGCCTCCCTCCCTCAGACCTCAGCCCCTTTCCGGCTGGCATCTGGAGAAGAGGGAAGAGGATTAGGACACAATGGGGACTGGACTGATCTTGTTCCTGATGCTTTTCTCCTGAGGCTCCTTTGCCCTTTCCCCAACAGTCCCTGTCCAAATTGCCCATTCCTTATCTCAGAGTGCCCCCTTTCCCTGACTCTGTCAGGTCACAGAAAGGGTTTAATTACCACCATTCTCTCAAGAGTATCACAAAGTTGTCAGGTCCACGAGACCCATTTGTTTGGGGGAACATGCAGACCTCTGTGCAGTGCAGTGGGTACAGTTCCTGTCTGAGCTTGGTGGCCTGGGCGCAAATCCAGCTCTGTTACTTCTGTATTGTGTGACCTGGACAGATAACTAAACACTTGTATCCAAGTTTCTTCATCTATGAAGTGGGAGGTAGATAGTATTCCTACCTTATTGGGGGTCTGTAAGGATTAGTGAATTCTTGTGTGTAAATTGCTTCATAGCATTGGTCATGTGTTATTCTCCAGCATACACTTCACTAGGCAGTTCCAGAAGATTGTAACAGAGAGAGAATTATGCTGTGTGAATTCCCAGAATGAAGTCTGAACTGAAGTACCTGTACTCATTCTCCTTTCCCTTTGAAAGGGAGATCTATTCATTATCATAAAATAAAAAACAGAGATTCCCTCCAAATTTTATAGCAGGGAGTGAGTCATCTTCTGCCTTGAACAGTTCTGATCTAAATACTGTTAATGAAGAGTTCATTAGATGCTAACAAGCAAAATCAAATTCATGAATTAGTTCTGTGAATACATTTCTATATCTCTGTGGCTATATATCTTAAATCTCAAGTCCAAATATTGCTATTAATATTAACCACTGTCAACATTGGACCAGATTGTTTTTGTTTCATAAGTGAAAGGTAAATAAACTTCTGGAAACTCAAAAAAAAAAAAAAAAGTGTGGATTACAGAAGTATAAGCAGTTCTGATGAAGACACATTCTAATTGTTTCACTACATGCATGTGTGCTCCTACCACCTGAATGTCCCTTCTCTCCCGCTTAAAGGACCAATGTGGATGCTGGGAGGTGGCTCTGCACGGTGCCTGGGGTCATCCACAGGTGCTGTCCGATTTGGAGTCAGCACTTTGGATGAATTCAGCCCACGGGTAGAGGTGGATAATCTGCAGACTCGTGTCACTGTAACGGGTCTTGTTCTGGGGAAACTGCAGGGGAGAACAAGAAATTGCACCTTATCAAATATCAGACACAAATATGTGTCTCTCTTTGTGTAGGTGTAGGTACGGGGGTGTGTTTTCTTAAGTTGTGTTACCAAAAGCAATTTTTCTGCTAGTATATGTGTTCTGACATAGAGATAAAGCCGAGTCTGGCATTCAATGTAAAATATTGGGCTCAAAGTTCTGTAGAGAGTCAGGAGGAGGATGGGATTTAAGATAAAAATAAAACTCCTCCCTGCTCCACTTTCAGTTGGTAATATAACTTGAAAAGTAGCAATTTTCTCTAATATCTTTAGATATACTATTGTCTGCGGATGGTTCACTGAGTCTGTTTTCTGAATTGGGGACTGTAGGGAGATGAGTGGGGGAAGGGTAATATTTACCAAGCACTGATGGTATATCGAATGCTTTACTCACTTTGCCCCCATTTAATCCCCATAATCCCATCCCATACGGTGTAGCCGTATTTTACTCAGAGAACACAGAGGCATAGGGTCTGTGCCCGTCCCAAGATCAGTCAGTATGTTGCTGTGGCCAGAATCCAAACCTGGTGTGTGTGGCTCCAGTGCCTTTGCATTCTCTCCTTGGTGTCTAAAATTCTAATTCTCTTCTTGGTGTCTACTTGTTTGCTGATTTGGAAGATACTAGCCAGTCCAACCCAGGCTTTCCCTGTGTGAATAGAGATAGGATACACTTGGCCAGTAAGACATCCCTGTGGTGCCAAATTGTGCTTATTGAGTCATCTCTGGTTCTTGATGTGCTTGTCTTTCTGGTCACTGCGTAACTCAAAAGAAGATGATGTGCCATTTTATGTGTCCTTTGATATGGTAAGTGGCAGCCTTACCTATTTTTTGGAAGCAATGAGTAGAAATTATATGAGCTGAAGTTTCCCATTAAACTTCACAACACTGTTTTTGGTTTTTAAATAGTCTCCAGGAGACGTACGAAGCAAAGAGAAATGAATTTCTGGGAGAACTTCAGAAAAAAGAAGAAGAAATGAGGCAAATGTTTGTTATGAGAGTGAAGGAGAAAGAAGCTGAACTTAAAGAGGCAGAGAAAGAGGTAAGCCATCTGTCCTCCTTCAAGTGAGAGAAAAATAAGTAAGGTGTGTTATTAATACTTCACATTGTATGGAACCTCATGTTCTCCTAGGTACTTTCTACGTATATTTTATGACATGAGCAGCTAAAATGGTGAGAGCAGCAGGTCACGCATTATTCCCATTTTACAGATGATAAAACTGAGAGCCATAAAGGTTAAATGGGTTATGCAGTCACATACTTAGTAAGTAGCAGAGCTGAAACCAAAATTAGACCTTAGGTCTTCAGGCATGGTCTCATATTCTCTGTAGCTCAATATCTCCTTAATTTGTAAGTCTTGCAACATAAAATTTGGGATTCTGGGACTATTATTACTATTATTGTGTTAGCCTGTGAGCCAACTCAGTGAGCTAAACAGTGGACAGGCCCCTGGGCACAACCTGATGGGTAGTGGTCTTCATACACCATATCTACATGTACGTCTTCTTCCTTTGTGGCCCTGCTCCATTGTCCTGTGACTCCCATGTCATTGCCCATGACCAGGTCAGATTAACTGCTTCCTAGAAGGTAGCATGAATTTCTGCATAACACTCATTCTATGGGGGAGAAGGAGGGTGAGAGAGCAAGGGGGAGCGAATAATCTGTTTGTCTCTTGATGGTAGATAATGAAAGAGTATCTCAAGTGCTGAACCTATAGCTGTATTCATTTCCAAATTGTCTAAAAACAACTTCTTCATTTTCTTTTAATTTATCTTTATAAAGGCCACTGAAATTTAGAGGTTATTTAAATAGCTAAGCACTCAGTATATTTTTGCTGCAGAGAAAGAGAAGTTGAGTCTTATTTGTTGTTGGTTATAAATACCAAGTGGATGTTGGATAGAAATCTAGTTATTTGGATAGAAATCTAGAGTTATTTCCTTCATTCTTTCTTTCCTTCCTTCCTCCATTCCTTCCTCTCTGCTTTTGTACTTGCCTTGTGATAATTTTCCAAATTTGATTTGTCAAGAAATTTGCCAGAAATCTCCCAACATATTCTTATTATTTGAACAGTGTATGTCAACTGTGGTCGCTGTGTATGCCTCTAAGTAAATGTATATTATATATTTGAGAGAGGATCAGAAATAACGAACTACCCTTGTTACCACTTGGGTGAATTTCTGTTAGGAGCACGGATAATTTTTATTTTCTTCCTTATGTTTTTTTACAATGAATATGTATTTTATTATCAGTAAAAATGAACAGAATTCCCTTTAGTGAGTGCCACGGGGATCACATCTCAAAGTCTCCTAGGACTCCGAGGGGTAACCTTGCCCCTCTCGACCTGGCTCCTCCAGGAGCGCGGGAAGGTATCTCCCTCGTGGGATTAAAGCACGTGCAGCAGCACAGGGCACGTTTGGGGCTTGAAAGGATCCAGAAGCTCTTCAGTAACTTGCCACTCCGCTCACCAAGCTTGGCCTTCCCTATTCCCCTCCAGCTCCATGAGAAGTTTGACCTCCTGAAGCGGACACACCAAGAAGAGAAGAAGAAAGTGGAAGACAAGAAGAAGGAGCTGGAGGAAGAGGTGAACAATTTCCAGAAGAAGAAGGCAGCGGCTCAGCTCCTGCAGTCCCAGGCACAGCAGTCTGGGGCCCAGCAAACCAAGAAAGACAAGGATAAGAAAAAGTAAGCGGGTGTCCCCCCCCATCCATCGGGGCCCTCTAACCATTGATTCCTCTTGCATGTTTCTACTTTTCCCATTTACAGACTGGAAGCTGGTCTGTTACCAGAAAGATAAATGCAAGTCTTTTCTCTACAGTGCAGGGAAGATGACACAGGTTTTTAAAGTATTTGTAAAGGGTACACGAATATTAATTTATAAAACTTGACCACATGACCAAGCAATCAGGGCTGGAGGAGCCTGCTGTCTCCGGTGGCGTCTTCTGCACCAACACTAGGACTCTTGAGAAGACAGTCTGTTTCTCTTCACTGCTCCCTGGAGACAATCCTCATGACTCTTGATAAAGGGCATCCTAAAATGATGATTGTTAAAATTTTTCTATTTTGTGTCGTGAGGCTTGATAAGCCAGTCACTTAAAGTCTTGTTTCCGAAATGGAAGATTGGGACGAACTGCTTGTGGCCACGAGTTTTCCCTTAAATTCAATAAGATGGTGAATTGTTTTATTGTGGAAATGGGATCAAAATACCCTTCCAGTTCAGACACCCTCATTAATCCGCAAAACACACCTATCTCCAGACCCCCCCCCAAAATTTTTTAAAAATATGGCCTTGATTTATTGTGCCAAAGGGTCAGATGCTGTTCTTAAAGTAGTCACTTCCTATAATACTCCAATAGCGGCTGCCTGAATCCAGTGGGAGACGTGGGCCTGCCTTGAAACGCTGTCATGATTTGAAGCTCTACATCAAAGCACCTTAACGACTAGAGAGTGCACTTTTATGACAATTGCTACTGGATTGACAGTAAGCACAGTGGTCAGTACGATACCTTCTAGGAACACTTCTGTGGCGGCTAGATGGCCACCCCACAGACACTGCCCTCCTTGGTCTGTTTAACACGCGGTGCTCTTAGGGCAGCAATAAGGCAGCTCAGGATGTGTTTCAGGGTTCTTGCTCTTTACCTTTGATGCCAAGATTCTAGGGGATAAATGGACAATTAAGTAAACGATAAAAATGTTGGTACTTGAGTAGGCAAGGAATTAAATCATAACAAATAGAGCAGATGAGATTGAATCTGCACAGTAATTGAGACCCATCATAGGGGACTGAGCACAGTGGTGGTGTCCTCTGAGTCTTGGTGACCATGCAGACTTGCCCCTGAGGAACCTCATTACACTGCCTGTGGCAGAAGCACGGTGGACTACTACAGTGACACACAGAGTTTTAAATTATACCTTACAGACTCTGACTTTCCAAGCTCTGAGGCAGCAGAAAATGTGTCAAGAGAGCAAAGAAGTAAGCACGTTTTCTAAGCAAGAGAAAGTAGTTGGTGTCGATGTGGTGTGATTTCTATGGGGTTGGTACTGACCCAAGTTTTCAAGGCCTCCCAAGGGCTGAAACTTTAGTTATGCTGGATAAATTCTAGAGTAACAATTAGCTAGATTATAATCCAGTACAAGAAAGCGCCTTATGCTGTGCTTTTTGAGAGAATATCAGTCACTCATGGTGACATTCCCCATGCAGATATTCAGGGGTGAAATGAAAGTCATTTAGCACTATACGCTTGTTGATCCTAACTACCCCAAGATAAAAATAAGGGTGTGAGAGTGTGTGTGTGTGTGTGTGTGTGTGTGTGTGTGTGTGTGTGTGTAAGTGCCCACATCAATAGGCATGGATGAAACAAAAAGCTGCTGACTCACAGCTTAGGAAACCCAAAGTCAAGTTTTTCCTACCCTTAAGCACTAGTGTGCATAAAGGTACATGTTTCGGAACTAAACATGTTTATAGAAGACCAGCAATGTTCCAAGGATATTTCACGTATGCTGGACGTGCTTCTAAACAATACACGTTCCACGAGCGGATCCATACTGTGCCTCCATTAAAAACAAGTCTATCCAGTAACAGACTTCCTAGTGTAGGGAGGTTTTTCCTTGCCCTTTTGATCATTTTAGGTTATTTTCACCCCAACCTTGGGCCTTAGCGATGTATAATGCTTTTCAAGTTTACATGAAATATGTATAGATTCTATTTTAGCCTTATTTATACATTCTCGCGTATCATTAATAGAATTAGACTTAATTTGGTGTGCAGTAGTGACCAGGTTTTGTATATGACGATGGCACATATTTTTTGGTAGGTTCTTAACCTTTTCTACAACTTTCCTATTTGAACACAGAAAGCAACTGCAAGTTGGAGGCCTGAAGTTTACAAGTTAAGCCCCCCCACCCCCAGCCCTGGCAGCCAGGGGAGAGAGTGTGGTTAGAGAGGACCACAGAAAGACAGTGACCAGGGTAACCAGAGCAGCTCTTTGGAAATGGGAGACTCTTGTCTCCTCATGCAGCTGGAGTCACCATACGTGCCACTTTGGGGCTGCTTTTGTTTCAGGGAGAACATTTTTATGAAAGAGATGCTTATTTATTCACCTGCTATGCTTCCCCTTCAGAAATTAACTTAGCTTTTCTAATAGTTTTAAATTCTGTTTTTTCTATTCTAATGACACGCTCCCTTTTTAACATAGGTAAGGCTTTGTGCTTCTACTTGAGCTGTAGTGGCATGAGAGCATATAACCTTTCCTAAGATTACAGACAAAGTAGCGCTAACCCTGGCACTGCCATTAGCCGGACCCCACCTCCTGCCCTCTCTGGCCACCAAGGCACTTCCCTTGCTTGCGGCTACGCCGCAGTGGTGTGAGTACCCGAGGGTAAGTTGTTCAGTGAACAGCGTTCTTGGCCGAAAACTTTGCACAGTCGCCAGTGGCCATTGGTGGTGACGTCTCATCCATCCCAAAAGGAAGTTTTAAAATCCATCATTTTAAAACTGTACCTGGCATCTGATAACCACGGTTTATACAGTCATCCACTCATCTTTTAAAAGAAAAGAAAAAAACACACTTTTTATTTTTTTTAATTCTTGCTAAGGAATGAAGTTGCATGTTTTGGACTTGCCTAAACGTAGGCGTGCGGATCTCGGGTTTGGCGTTGCACCTCAGTGCGGGGGAAGCTCCTGGCACCTGCTGCAGCTGTGGCCGCACGGTGCTTGTCCTGTTGTCCCTTCCCGAGCAGATTAATAATAGCATGCCCTCCACTCCCTGCATCCCAGCCCCCAAGTTCGTCAGTTGAAGACATTACTGTAGATTTATTCTCTGACTCCAGCCGCTCAGAAATGGGAAGGTGTTGCTCCTGTTCAGTACCGATGTGATGACCAAACCTAACAGATCATGTTTTATGTTATTTGAGAAAATGAAAATCAAATAGCAAATCCTTCCACTCTGACATGTAGTGGTTTCAAGAAGTCACTCATAAATTACATGCAAATGGAAACTAACCATGTGTTAATTCAGATTAAAATTTTGCTTTTGCTTGTCGTGTAGAATAGCTTACTCAAATTTGTGGTTTTAATTTCTGTCGATTCCATAATCATTGCATGAGCATTCACCATCACCGAATGCTGGTGCTGGCGCTCCTAATTTTCCTTTCTTTTTTTATTTATTATTATTTCTAACTTTTTTGTTTTGTTTTTTAACTTGCAGTGCAAGCTTCACATAAAGCCTGGCAAGCCAAGGATGGTCCCGCATTCACCTGCTTTTGCAGTAATATTGTATCTCTGCCATCTGTGTCCTTTTGTTTTGTTTTATTTTATTTTTTTTACCCTTCCCCAGACACCAGTAACTATTAACTCATTTTGCTGAATATTGTTGGGTAGTGGAAAATGATAGAACAAGAGAATAACACCAAAAGCTATGTGCAGCTGGACTTTGTTTTTGGAAAGTAAATGATTTGCCTTTTATGCCTGTTCAGAGTGGCAGCAGGAAGCATGTTGCTTGTATGTTGCTTTGAACCGAGGGACGAAGGGTCAATGGTGCCATGTACGTCTGTCAGGAGAACTTCTCAACGCCTCAGCCGCTGAATCATAACCTTGAATAGCCATGACAACAACTTGGCTTTTCTTGATTTCTCATCTCCATGATGGCAGAAGCCCTGAACTCACTCTGCCTCTTCTCCACACATGCCCCAACCAAGGTAGCTTCGTACATAGGCAGACCGGTGGGTCAGCATTTTAGGACTTCTACGTTTGCATGGATATTCATTATTATCATTTTATTTGACCCATGTTGTGGGTCTCTTCATACCGTCCCCTCTTACAGCTTTAAAAATATCTCTGAACCTCTATCTTTCGAATCCTGGACAAGTTGGACTCTAATGAGAAAACTGCTGATGTCTCTCTTATCAGCACAACCTGATCCTCTCGAAGTTAGTGATCTCCAAGGTCAGGTCGTATAACGTTGCCTGGTAGAAGAATCCTCTACTAAGGATGATGGGCTTCCCACGACCTCCCTTCTGCTTACAATGAACACTCTTTCATGTTTTCCGTGGCCAATGACCAGTTCTAGGATATCTGTACTTCTAATAATACTTTTCAATAATCATGAGGAGAAAATTTTCAGAAATACTTCAGATAGGAAATTTGTTATAAACTGCATCATCTGCAGCACAAATTATGAGGGGACCTCATCAGTTTAAGGTAGAAATGGGAAGGGGACTCCTGGGAGGCTCAGTGGGTCAAGCATCCGACTTTGGCTCAGGTCAGTCTCACAGTTCATGGGTTCGAGCCCTGCATTGGGCTGTCACCACAGAGTCCACTTCAGATCCTCTGTCTCCTTTTCTCTCTGCCCTTCCCTCTGCTCGCACATACACTCTCTCTTTTCTTTCTCAAAGAAAAACATTTAAAAAAAAAGAAATGGGAAGGAATGTGACACAAAGCCATGAGTGAAGAAGGTAGAAATTCACCTGCACATCTAGCATCTGTGCAACGTCTCCTTTCCATATTTGGCGATAACAGGAAGGAGAACTAGAGCAGCTGGTCTTTCCAATCCAGTTGTCTTGAAGGAGTTTCCTCACCTTTTCCTCACTATGACTATCTCCGCCTGCTCTCTGTGTCCCAGCCCATCACCCCATCAACGAGAATCAGGGCCAACCCACAGGCCACAACAGAGACCACATACCAGATTTTCTGTTCCTTTATGAGGCTTATCCCTTCATCTTCTTGATGTTTCCCCCCCTCCACTAACAAGATCTTCCCAACTTCTAACTCATCTACCGTTCCTTACTTGAAAGAGTACTCTTTCTCACGAACCTGATGCTCCAGCTCTGTGCTTCCTTCCGGCCTTCACTAGTCAGACTTTAGGTAAATAGGATAGAAGGCACTCCCCTAAACACACACACACACCACTCTTTTTTCTTTTTTTTTTTTAAGTAAGTCTCTAGTTGATTCCAAAAAAGTTTTCTTTTTTTCCCCTTCTCTTCATTCTCAATCATACTTATAGGGGAAAGAAGTTATGGTCTTCCATGAACTGAGTTGGGCTTAAGTAGGCAAGGTAAAAATTCAGTTTCACTGAAGCCCAAACTAAGCTGGGCTAGAAACTGCAAACTTGAATCAGCAAGGGTGGTATAAAGGCTGATTTAGGGGCTACTGGACTAATGTTTTAGTTTTAGTTTTTTGTTTTGTTTTCTTTCATGATTCTAGTCCAAAGCTAGTTGTGGAGCGGCCAAATACTAGATGGCATGCTGATTCTAACCATGGCTAAATTTGCTCATACGCCGTGCACCAGACAGCTTGAATACTTGTGTTGTATGCTTGTTCCAACCGCTGCTTGTGTGAGCATTTTTGTGCCTTGTAACAGAAAATATACCTGTAAATTCCAAAAATGGTCATCTTAAAATTACCATTTTTAATACATCACTGAAACCTTTTCAACAGTGAGCCTAACTGTGAAAGACATTCAGCTGACTTTCTGACTCCAAGATTGTTGATTTTTTTTTCCTCCCATGAAAATTTTCATGACAAAATGAATCCTATGGAGAGTCAGGGAATAAAAAGTCAAAAGAAAGTTCTGGAAGCTCTTTTTTTTTTTTTTAACCTGTTGCTTCTGAACTCTCTTCTACTCCTGCTCCCTGGCCCTGTTTGGTTTGTTATTGCTGCCCTTTTCTTCTTTCTGTATCTGTGCCTTTTTTCACAGTAGTCCTTGGCTCTGCACGGAATAAATGATACCCTCAAATCTAATTGGATGTGCTTTCGCCTTTGCATGTAAGTACAGTAGTAAGAAAACTTTGAGATCTTTCTGACTTTTTAGAGAAACAAATGGGATAGGTGGATTTTTCCTTTTCCTTTTTTGGAGGGAGGTATAGGGAGGTAATGGTTTGAGTAGCCTTTGCTTACAAAAAAAAAAACCCCTAAATATATTTAAATAACCACATTTGTACCTTTTCCACAAGAAATATAAATTCAGCTTTTTGATACCGATAATAGAAGTCAGAAATTATTGTTCCCAGCTGTGTTCTACACAGCAATGTGGACATCACTGGATATTAGACAGTCCTTAGTTCTGACTATGTAAATAAAGCTAGAATAAGAAACTACTACCTTCCATTGGAGAAAATCAAGAGGAAAATATTTTTTATGCTAAGCTGCTTTTCTGACTGCTTAATTTTTTGATGATCTTGGTTTAATGGTCTTCCCCCATGCTAACTGCTGGCAGTGAACACACCTGTTTTTTTTGTTTTTGCCAGACAGATCTAGCTGGCCTCTCCCCATATCTTTTGTTCAACCATAATGACCACTGCTTCTGGACTTTAGCTACTCATAACAGTTGTACGTGCAGTAAAATGTGACAGAAAAGCATTTTGGGAATTTACTAGCAGTTAGAGACTATGTTTTCCCAACCCAGGCTCCTTCGTAACTGGTCAAAGTTTCGTCCAGAAAGGACATCTCAACCAGGGGAACATTTAACAGCACACTGAGCACAGGTTCCTTATTATCTTCCTTCTCTGCTTTGGAATCTCACCAGCAATAACACTTAGTCTTCATATCTTGTGCGCTCCAAGCGAACGGACAGGGTTTCTGCACTCTCTTGCCCTATCCATTCGTGTGTCCCATATAGACTGTTGACTCTGGGTTTCAGCTGTTCTCACCCCGCGTCGTCCTGTCTCCGTGTGCTCCTTCCAAACCCTCCTTTCAGACCCCTTTGCTCTGCCATTTGCAAGTGTGTGAAATCGTCAAGTCTCAGCTTCCTGAAGTCTTGGTTCCATTGACAGGACACACATGTGATCAGTCTTTAGCGGAAATTATGACCTACAACATCTAGATTGTATGTAGGTATGAAGGGAATTTTTTAAATAAATTGAAAAGCTGTGAACAGCATTAGAACTTTGTCTATTTCTTAATTTTAAAATATGCTGATATGCCTTAAACTGTAGTTGTAGAACATTGTCATTTTGCTGTTTGAAAATAACCCATGTGTTTCTAAAAAAAAAAGTGTTGTGTAATCTACTTTCAGTGTTAATGCAGATTTGTCATATATGTAAGCTGCATGTTAGACACTCGTCTTTTTTAAAACCTAAAATAATTGTATCCATATGAAGTATATCATTTTTTCAAGTAAGAAAGTAATCACTTAGCAAACATGCTCAGTAATTTGGTGTCTGTTAAGGTAGGAGAGTGGTGGACAGGTAACCTATGCATATATCACTAGTGCCAAGACATAAAAGTGGGGGAAAATATATTTTTACCCAAACAATGTGTGCCCTTTTGTGAGTTCTTTTTAGTCAGTATTTGGTATGCATATGGACACATGGTTATTATGTCGGATAAAAGAAGTAGGGATGAAAGAGTCTCATGCTTTCCTGCCTTGTCTGGTGGATTTCAGATGCGACCATCTGCACAAGCTCCAGCTTCTCCGAGATACTTGCCATGCGGTATCCTGTATTTCACATATGGTCTCTGCTACCCTTTCTCCCCCATTCCCACCCCCTTCTGTCCTGATCAGTGTCCCTGGCACCCCGCCACCTCCAGCCCCAGCAGAGGTCTCCTCTTCTTCCCTGGCCTCTGGTGCCACCGTTGCTGGGCTGCTCGCCTCCAGCTGTGCTCCAGGAAGTCGTCCCTGTAACTGACACACTGCTGTTCTTTCGCAGTTGTAGAAAAGCCCCTTTTTATTTTTTAAAACTTTAAGAACCAAATTTGAATCTGAATCTTTCTTTTTTCTCTTCTGTAGCTTCTTCTTTATGTAACCATCCTGTTGACAAGCCCTACTCTCTCCTAATGGACATAGAGCATTAGAAGAGCAGGAGCTGTCTGTTCACACGTGTTGGGGAAGAGTTACCTCATTTCCACCATCGCCTCCTATTCTTTTAAAGTCTGGGTCAAATATTGCATTGCTGTTTGTATTTGTCAATGTCTGTTTACAAACCACTGCCCATAGTGGTTACTAAAGTGACTCATCACTACCAAAAACAGTAATAATAGTACTTAAGAGGAAATTGAGTGAAAAAAAGAACTTGGGCCAAGACCCAAGATAGCCATGTGTTGGGATCCTCTTGCTTAGCTGTCACATTCTTGAAGCTGCTGATCTGAGAACTCACGGACTGAAGACACAGCTTGTACCCTACCCTTAGCTGGTCACCACCTCCAGGGTCCACAAACTTGATCTCATGTTAACTCCAGACCTCTCTGTCCCATGAGCAACATTCTGAACTGCCCCATCAGGACCCTCAACCATCAATCAGGTCATAAGATCCGGGCAACATTCTGCTTCCTTTTGTTAGTTTTATGGGTTGTTTTGGAGTTGGGGTGGTTTTTTTTTTTTTTTTTTTTTTTTTTAACATTTGATATTGCATGAACAGAGATGGCTACAATTTTTTTATTCAGAGTGTTCTATTGATGCAATGTTTTTATTTTTCAGCTGACCATCTGCCTCTTGAGAGAGAGAAGTGGGCATCCTTCCTTTAAATTCAGGAACCATTGTTGTTTTATTTAACTCTTTTTCTGTTACCTGCATCCCTTATAAGAGTTGTTTTGGGTTTGGGATTCTGTTTTGGAAAAAAAAAAAAAAAATTCCAGTTAGCCAGTTCTGTTTTATGTATTGGTTATTCAAACGTAGTTTGGTATCAAAATTATGCCAGTTTTAAGTTAAAGGGGAAATTTAAGTGAAGTTTAAGTCATAGAATTCTGTTTAAGAATCTGTCATCTCAGATTCAACCAAAAAAATCCCTCTGCTGTCACTGGGGTTGTGACCTACAAGTCTTAATCTTGTTTCTAATGTGCCAGTATTGGGCAGAGGACTTTTCTGCCTCTGGGACTCAATTATACTTAAAGGTACCTTAAAATAACTTTCTGGCCCGTCCCTCCCTTTTTGTGTACTGTGGAGCTCTGCTTTTCCTGGTTTCCAGAGTTTCTTGTGTCCCAGACCATGGGAACAACCCCCAACAAAGTATAAAGCTGTCCCAGACAATCACTTTGCTACAGTGGTTCTGATCTACATTGTCTTCTCAGTTACCCAGGTGGCTTGCTCTACCATGTCTATGGGGAAAACTTGCTAGAATTCACTCAAAGTACACCCACCATACAAACACACACTTCTGCCAATTGAGGCTGTGGTTTCCAATGCTGACCCAATTGTGAGGGTCTACAGAGATGCAAGGGCTAGATTACTTTATTAGCAATCACGTATTAGGGGCAGTTTTCCTAATCAAGGGACAACTTTCAAATTCATTTCTGTTTTAGAGCATGAACATACATTTTAAGTTACCTTATAATTTCCTTACTTGTCTATCTAGTCTTTGCTTATTTCCATCACTTCAGCCCCATTATTAGGAGGACCATGAAAATACTGTTGGTGGCACGGGTTGCACTTGGGAGTGTTCTCTATTTAAGAATGGTAACACATGCTTCTGTGGCAAGGTGAAACGAAACAACAGTCCCTACTTCCTGAGTCATTTGAATCATTTGCTTCTTGGAAGGAGGTTATTTAGAGCAATTGGCTGAGCACCTTGGTGAGAGAGGCTTTCTTAGAAAGATACTGTAATTAAATGCAATAAAGTCAGATTCATCTGAGCCATTAAATGGTCAAAATATAAATGTCAAGAGCCATCCCCTCCATATTACATTATAATCTATAAACATATAAATCTGCTAGTGATGTCACCAGTGGTTTGGAGGTGGAAGGGTAGGTACCAACTCTTTAACTGATGCCAGAGTGTAACCTACCCATTTTATAAGTTAAACACAAACCACCCTATTGTGTGAAACCACTTAAGTACTAAGAACAATGATTGGATTTATTTTTAATATTTTAAATGTGAACTTTATCATTTTAAAAACAAATTCTGCATCTGGTTGTAAAGACATTTTCTGAACAGTATTTAAAAATCAAACCAGGCAGTATTTTTTTTAATAGTCTATTGTTGCTATTCCCTTTTTTCTCCCATTTTGGCCAGGTTAGAGGCAGTGTGGGGGAACAAGTTATTATAAGTAGGTTGGCCTCTGTTCAGTGATCTAGCGAACGCTGACCAGATGCCACTGATCAAGTGCGTGGTCCTCTCTATTGGAGTTTTACTTCAGGTAGTTCCTTTTTTCAAGTGTTGATAAAACTGATAGGTTCTCAAGTTCTCCTGGCTGACCAACGAAGAGATATGAAACCATCCCAGGGCTAATTATCAATAATAAAAATTATTTTCTGGGGCGCCTGGGTGGCTTAGTCGGTTGAGCGTCCGACTTTCGCTTAGGTCATGATCTCGCGGTTCGCAGGTTCCAGCCCCGCGTCGGGCTCTGTGCTGACTGCCAGCTCAGAGCCTGGAGCCTGTTTCAGAGTCTGTGTCTCCCTCTCTCTCTGGCCCTCCTCTGCTCATGCTGTCTCTCTCTCTCTCTCTCTCTCTCTCTCTCTCTCTCTCTCTCCCTCCCTCCCTCCTAGAAATAAATAAAACATTTTTAAAAAAATTATTTTCTTATCCCAAGCTAGATTGTGGAAAAGAAAAGAACTCGGCCATCTGAACAGATTTGCATTGGTAATGGGCTTTTCATTTTTTTATTCGGTCTTTTAAAAAGTGTTACCTGATTGCAGATACAGACTGCCTTCCTGCTTGCTACAAACGCAGTCTAGTCCGTCTGCTTGAGATTGGCACATGTCTAATGGAGAGGTCTTCTGAATCAGTATTTGCTGAGCTGGAGCAGAAAAAAATGAGCTCATCTTCCCAATATGCTTGGCCAGACCTTTCCCCCCATCAACTGTATCTGCCAAATGAAACTTCCTTCTTAGTTATTGATGGGTTTTTGCCTGTTGGCCCAGCTTATAAGTAAACAGTTCTGGATATCTGAAAAACTAAGTATGGAACTTTCACTGTATTTAAATGCTGTTTCTACACAAAACCTTTTGTTTTGCAGAGGACTGTCTTCTTTCCACCCTGGAGACAGTGTGGATCTCTTTGAAGATCCTTGCATTTGCGTTCTTAAGACCATGGCATTTAGTCCTTGTGACTGATACCTTCTGGCTTTCAGATCAGTCCCTAGCAAGTAGCTGAAACCCCCCTGGCTACTGAAGGGATTTGATGTGTTGATTTTAAAAAGACTAATTGTGAGTCTATATATCCACTCACCTCCCTTTCCAACCTTCCTAACCTGACAAGTAGCTGTACATAAATGAGATCTTTTGGTTGTCAGTGGAACATTGTGTGAAGCACAGATGAAGATCGAACATCTGCCTCAAATCAGTTACCTGGCAGTGCTGTGGGTTGAATGGCATTTTGGTCCATGTAGAAACTTTTCAAAATTACAGCACCTAGTTAGAGGATTCAGAGGCTATTATAATGAGGTTGGTCCCTGTCCCACATTTAAAAAAAAAAAAGTGTGTATGGGGTAGTGCAGGAGAACATTGTTCAAAGAGTTCAGTTTAACCATGCATTCTTTGAACAATGCTTTCAGAGCCGTAAAGGTACCATTCTAGCATTCCTGCCCTCTATTCACCTCCATCCATCCACCTTCTGTACCCTGTCCCTCTCTCCCTTTCCAAACACTTTATTCTCTATACTGTACCAGGCCTACATTAGATGCTGGGGATGTAGCCAAGAACTATGAATTGCACTTGTCTCTGTACTATCTCATGAACACAACAAATTTTTGGAGCAAAAGAAAAGGTAAGCCCTTTCAATGCTAAATTGCTTAAAGACATTGTATTCTGAAAAGCAAAAGCCCTCTCCCCCAGCAAAAGCCCTCTCCCCCACCTTGACCAAACTGCTTTTCAGTGATTGTTTAAGGTCGCCCTTCAGTCTGGAGTATCCTTGTTTCTAGCAAAATACGCTGTTTCTAAGAAATGAGAAACCAGTTCACTGGGCCTGTACTTTTTTTCTACTACCTTACGGTTGTGTAACACATTAAGACCAATTCTGGCATTTGATAGCCTATGAAGATTGTACTTTGTCAAGACAAAGGGAGAGGTTTTTCTCAGTTCTTTAACTCAGAAGTTCCTGGTGACTAAAAATGAGTTGTCAGCTCTGCCCAAGAGTTAACTCAGAAGTTAACTCTTCTTTAACTCAGAAGTTCCTGGTGACTAAAAATGAGTTGTCAGCTCTGCCCAAATTTCTCTGGTAAGATATTCTTGGTTACCTTTTATTATACTTTTTGAATAATAAATGGCTTGCAAGAGAGAGGTCTCTGTCCTACACCTGGGTCTTAAGACAGATTAGTACATCATAGAAACCACTAAACTCATGGTAGGTGAAAGCTTTAATTCCTTGATACAATCTATGCTATTTAAGCCTGTACTTCCATCTTTTCTCTTTTACTGAATTTGGTCAAATCAACTCAAGCCTTGCTGGACTCAAATCCAGCAAGGTTTGGAGAGTTGGCGACTTTCAACTATTCTCAATCACATTTCTAGGTTATTTTGCAGGATTAGACAACTCACAAAAATTAGGGTTAGTTTTGTAAAGCTGGTTTTGTTTTTGGTAGATCTTGTCACAGTCTGCTCCACGTCATGGCAGATTTTGTTGATTTTCCCTCAGTCCCAGATACATAGGTTTCCTGTGCCTTAAGTGATGTGAATTTATAACTCCAGATGATGCTAATGTTTAGCAACAAGAGACAAGTTCAACTGCTCACTCCCCTACAGTAAGCCCAAGGAACTCAATTTCTCCCACATTCTTAAAAAGATGTTTTATTTTCCTCCAGGCACCATCTAGTGGCCAAAGCTCAAACCATTATTTAATATCAGGCATAGGAGACATTCCCCTAACAATGTAAAGACTAGTTTCAAGAATTTTGGAGGTAACCATCACATTAGATAAAGGTTCGTGTTATGAAATATAAAGGGTAAAGGTTTGAGTTGGAAATTGAGCCTTATTGAAAATTCTTAGCTCTGTGGCATTAGATAATTCTCTAACCCTCAACTTGCTAATGCACAACAGAGGTATGAATTTTCTGGATGGTAGTGAGACCATTTGGCAGTCTCTCCCCTTTCCAGTTGAAAATGTACCTTTAGGATTTAGATAAGCCCCTTACCGTGATGGCCAAGCGTCAGCAGTCACGTTAAGTGAAAGGCCAGTGTTGCTCCGGGCAGTAATGCTCAGCCATGACTGAGTTTCTTACTTCAGAACTCCAGAGTAAGTTAGGAAGCTTGAAAATCCAGGTATGTAGAGTGCAGAGGACATACACATGTTTCTATACATAAGAAAAGAAATCGTACTTGGGGGACAGACACCAATGTCTTAATTCCCCCAACAGTGGAAATGTTAAGTCCCGTTTCACCAGCTCAACTGAGTGAAGAGCTATGCTCTAGCTTCCTTCAAGCCAAAGGCAGTGTCAGCAACGCTCCTGGCAAATTGGTTTTACCTTTTTATTGGCATTTGGGAGCACTCCCCATTCCCAGCTGTCTCCCTCCCCCACATTAACCCATCATCTGTAGAAAAATAATATTCTCTACAGATAACCTTATAGAAGTCTTGCAAATTGAAAGATATTTAGCTTCTTTGCTATAGTCTGATCTTCAAGAGGGAGAGCATTTTTCCTTTTTCTGTTAAACGGAAGATTGAATAACAATTTATACCCATCAAGTTTATTCCCTTGCCTTTGTGGAGGCTTCATGGAATGATAGTTTTTCTAACCATCCGGAGACACCAATTACCCATAAAGCTCAAGTTTCCAAATACTGAAAGAAAATAATTTGTGATGTGATGCCAACATTTAAGACAAGTAACTTGAGACAGATTAGTGAGCAGGAACATATTCGATGAAAAGTTCCATGCTGTTCAAGAATATTGTGCTTTTTCTGTCTCAATCCATGAGTTCAGGGTTCTCAGAGCCAAGAACCCATGGTAGCTCAGGTCTCTGAACAGTGAACTGAAAGGGTGCTCAGGAAGGTCTGGTCCCCTTAAGTACCATCCTTTAATTGATATGGGTCAAATAAGCTGTGAGGCACAAGAGGTAGCAAACCAACCACTCCAACTCAGTTTCCCATAAAAACAGTACCATGTTCTGGGGCACCTGGGTGGCTCAGTCAGTTAAGCATCTGACTTAGGCTGAGGTCATGATCTCTCAGTTCACAAGTTCAAGCCCCACATTGGGCTCTGTGCTGACAGCTCAGAGCCTGGACTCTGCTTGAGATTCTGTGTGTGTTTCTCGCTGCTCCTCCCCTGCTCATTTGCTCTCAAAAATAATTTAAAAAAAATTTTTTAAAAAACAAGATCGTGTTCCAAACTTAGTTTTTGCTAAGATTAGAAAACCTCAGTCAACTAATTAAAATCTTATTGTCCTCTTATATTCAATCTGTAGTGGCTGGACTATACGTATTCTGATGTTAGACTCAATTTCATCCCTAACTTGAACATCTGTTAAAAGGAGGTAGGGGGATTAAGTGCCATGATTAACATGTGTACTTGTAAATTTCTTAGAGCTCCCACAATGCAGGAGAATTAAGAAACAGACCAGATGAAAATTAAGGTTAGTGTGGTTTTTTAAAATGTGTATCTACAAAGCCCATCTCTAGCTATCTTCACCCATAAACAGTTCATTTCTTCTTTTAATCTTTCCTCCCATTACCTGTACTTACACGGAAGTAAAAGTTTCCCATTTGAATGGATTGTAAGGTTGTAAGTAGGTCAGCAGTCAACCTTAGCACAGTAATTTCAAAAAAGACTAATGACCTAAGAATTTTCTGGCTCTGCAAAAACGGAACGAAACCAGCGGGCTAAAAATGATGTCATGTAGACATGGGTCTAACCTGCTCTAACAAACCATTCCATCAAACAAAAATTTACTATTTGGAAGGTGAGGGGGGGAAAAATTATGTCAAAACCTACATTCCTCAGTCACATTTAAATCCCCTTTTCCTCATGTTTTATTTCCTGTGAGCATATACTTGGGATTTTTATCATTTCTATAGTTGAAATGGCAGTGTTTAAGTAATCAGAAACTTGTACCTCTTCACAAGCAGAAAAAAAAGTTAAAGATACAAAGGTGAAGGACAACTTTTATTGCTACCAGAGGCTTTTATCATCAGCACATGGTTTTGACCGCAGTACCTTCTTCAGACTGCACAGGGAGCTGTGAATCCAGAAGACATTAAGAGAAATACAGGGAGGGTGAATAACTTTCATCAAGAAAATCCTAATAGCTGAACATAAATCTAGGGTACTGAATTCAGTTATCACATGTTACAGACCCAAATCATAGAGCTGCCCCAACATCTAGACAGTCTCTCCTACTGATTACAAATGAATGAAAACAGATCAGTTACCAAAAAAAAAAAAAAACAAACAAAAAACTTAGTTGTTACACGTTTCTTTGGTGAGCACCTGGGTACATTAACTTTATCACAAATTCTTTTATACAAATGTCAAAAATGCTTTCAACAAATCTAAGCATATCTTAATTACATGCCACTTTTAAGCTTCAATTTGAGAAACAAAAATAAAAATGATAATTTTGTTTCCAAACTGCAGGAATTGAAATGAGAAACACAAAATCAATGTGGTAATGTCAGTCCTTTTTCTATTACCACCTCATTCATATGGGGCAATTTTAAAGTACCCTTTTTGGATTAATTTGAATCATGGATCAAACATGGCTGTCACACTGAAATAATTTACTTACTAAATTGCTAAAAAATAATTTTGAGGATTTCCTAACCGGTGGAAGTCAGGCTACAGATCAACATGCATAAAGTTCATTAAGTATTCAATAAACAAGCAAGCAAAAATGAGGAAAATTAAATCAGGATGCTGGTGACAGAGTGTGTGGTGAATTTTGGAACTTAAAACACTGAATTTCTGACACGGGGTCAATCTCCATTCCATTTTAGTAGAGAAAAGGATGGAACTGACAAACACTACAAAAATTTAACTTAAAAAATTGATCTTTTTTGAATTTTCTAATTTTTGGTCTTTATAATCAACATTATTTAAGCATTTAATCTGCCACACAAGTAAACTGGTTTTTTTTTCTGGCTCACTTCAAATTGGCCTGATAAGGTATATACCTTTATAGAACCTTTCCTGGTTTTCCATGTTCCTGTCCCAGAGTAGTCTACCTTGGTTTGCAATTGAAGGTAACACTTGAAGCTACATGACAGAAACTGGCTGCAAAGGTGGACAAGGAGAAGCATGTCCCTCTTGCCTTGATAGGTCAGTGCCACATACAGAACCCACATTTTCTGAGACATTATCTTCATTATAGAGCCGTTTGATTCCATCATAGAAGTCATCCACTTCCATTTCCTCTACTTTGCGTTTAGCAGAGGTATGCTTGCACCCACTGGCAGCGGGGAGATGATGGTAGAAGGCTGCTGCACCTCTGACTGGCACTTCTGGTTTGCTGTTGTCCTTGGAGAAATCTAAATCTGGGCCTGGGACAGAGGAGGGATGTAATCTGAACACTCCTTTGTCACAGGTCACCAGGGTGTGCTTGAGGGGACGGTAGACATAAACGGAATTCAGAGGCAGGGAAGACTGCAGAGAAGAGAGGTGATGTGCCACAAGCTCCCGACAGTGGATCAGCTGGGAGCTAGCCATCTGGGCCAGGAAGGAAAAAAACAAAGGTGGATCATTTAATTAATATGTTGGCAACTTTTACTCACTGTGCCCTCTGTCCTCCCCAGCTTTCTCTTTCCCACATCTTCTACCTGAAATCCAGCAACTCCTCCAGTCTACCCATCATCTTCTTTGGAATTATCTCCAAATCTGTACTTCTAATGGAAGTCTCTTTGGAACTTTAATTCTGTAACTGCAATTATATGCTGAACATCTTCATGAAAACAGAAACTACTCGCTTTTGTTCACTGTATATATCCAATGGCTACTCTTGTTCAGTGTATTCCTACTGTCTACAGGGCCCTTCACTCCACTCTCTTTGCCACTTCTAATCTCTTGATGAAGACCAAAGTACAGATAAACACAAAATTCATTAAAAGTTTAAGGAAAAAACCAGAGGCACAAAAAATTTTAAGGGATGGGGAAGATCATCTGGCTAAGGATTTAGAACAATTTAAGTATTTTGTTTTGTTTTTACAATAGCAAATGAGAACTTTTGGCATTATATTTTTGTAGAAATTAGCAGGCTTGACAACATTAAGAAGAAATATTTCTAATTTGGGGTTTGACTAACTCCTCCTTATCCTGAAGGATAGTCCAGGTATCCTTTCTGAAGCTACCCTTGACTCCTCCTTGCCACCACACACCCAGACCCCAGGGCCGTCTATATCTATTTCAACCTGTCACCATACTCAAACCACTCTATTAAAATACTCTACTCAACCACTTACCTTTTCCATTACAGATTAGAAGCCCCCAAAAGGCAGGCACTGTAGCATATTCATTTTTATTCCCAAAGTTTCTTTTCTAGCACAGGTACTATATATAAGAGGCTTTCAAGGAGTCCAGTTAGTCTCTCTCTCCTACATTCCCTATAATCATAGCTCTAGTTAAAATAATCTTCATATGGGCAACATACATTTCTTCCCCTATTCAAATATTTCAGTGGCACCCCAATGCCTACCAGAAATAAGCTAACCTCTTTAAGCTTGGTATAAAGGCTCTCTACAATCTGACCCCATCCCTTCTTTTCAGCCTTATTTCCTGACTTATCCCAATTTAGGCTCTCCATTTGTACCAAACAGGCCTGCTTTCTCTATTCTGTGTAAATGTTGTCCTTTCTTTATCCTTGCTCATCCTGTTTCTACCTGTTAAAACTGGATTACCAATTCCTTCCAGCTCTGGCTAACTGCCACCCTCCAGGAAGCCTATTTAAACTACTGACTATCGGAGTCACTTTCTAGTCTTGTGTATTTTACAAGTATTTTCAGACATTTCTTAACCACATTTTATTTATACCTATATAACCTTCAGTACACAGCATGACTATGTGAAATACATACAAGAAAATAAAATAATATGATCTGCAATAATAACAAACATATTTGGTCACAAGACTATTTTTACCTCTAAGAATATTCATTACTTGTTACCCAGGAAAGTATCAGTGGAAAGAAGAATGAACAGCAGGTATTATCACAATACAAATGTTAAAATGCCTAAAATTGTCAGAAATAATACACAAAAATGACCATTTTTAGTATCTACCATTTTGTTCACTAAATTTCTTCTTAGTTTAAAAGACACTAGATAGCACCTTAAGGGCAAAATACTATTAACTAGTCTTAGAATTTCTTTTCTTCCCTTAAAGATAGTCCCCAGCTATTAAGCTTACAACTGTAGGCTAAGGCTTATCATGTCTCAGGGATGCAGAACAAGCTGAGTCACGCTAAGAATAGTGGAACAAAAAACACAGAAAAGGGACAGGGCTTTAAGAGTTCTTTAAAGAGAGAGGTACCCTAGTCAGTACTTCAAGAAGCCCACAAAAAGGAGGTGACAGAAATTGGGAAGTGAAAAATGGGCTATAGTCTAAAATAAAACTGTTCTTTAGCACATGACTAATACTCAGGGGCCTACAGAACTATAAGTATCACAAATATTCTAATGCCTTGGTCATGTGGCATAATACCACAGCAGAACCCTGAGAAGTGGAGTACATATAGATAACATTGGTTTGAAAAAAGACATGTATTCCAAGTAAAATGAAGACTATGCCACTAAAATCTTTCTCTGTGAAAATAGTAATAGAATTTAACAGAAAGTTATACAGTTGACCCTTGAACAACATGGCGTGGTTAGGGGCACCAACCCCCACAGTCAAAAATCTGCATCTAACTTTCAACTCCCCAAAAACTTTATTAACAGCCTACTATTGACCAAAAAAGCCTTAGCAATAACAGTCGATTAACACATATTTTGTGTATTTATTATACACTTACAATAATGATAGAGAAGAGAAAATGTTAAAGAAGTCATAAGTCCTACATTTACAAGAGCATACTGTAAAAAAATCCATTTATAACTGGATCCATGAAATTCAAACCCATGCTGTTCAAGAGTCAACTGTATTTTAGAAAATGACAGAGCTAGAAAGACATTATTCAAACCAATACCATCTATATGAACTCTATTTCCATCCAACTAAATCCTTTTTCCAGGATAACATATCAAAAGAAATTCCTTCTAATCTAATCTACTTGAATTTGTTCTAAGTAAACCAATCAAGTATACCCTTGTTGAGATCCAGTAGGGGAAACAAAACAAGCACATAAACTGGAGTTACACAACTTCAGACACCAGACAACAAGTCCTCTAATGAAATTGTTTTAAAGTGTGTTAAAGTGAAATCATTCTAATTGCAGGATATTAAAGGAACACTTATTGTTATTTTTCGTGACTATGTTGCCAGATTTCAAATAATGGTAACTATTTTTAAGTATCCCTTGGTAGGGAAACAAACACAACTGTAATGTAGCTCACCAAGGAAGGTGGGCCAAATAGCACTGAAAGTTTATAGGGCAGACATCCAGAGAGGTTACTGGTGGGAAGGGGGCACCGAATACCATCACATACATTATAGGTTCTGATGGATCCATATTTGGTGGACAGCATGAAGAACTGAAATTACCTGCTGCAGAGTCTGACCTTAGGCACTTTCAAGAAGAACTGGGAGACCCTGGTGGAGAAGGCCTGCTTCTTTAACTCTCTACTCTAATTTAAAAACAATCTTTTAATGTTTATTTTTGAGAGATAGAAAGAGAGAGAGGAAGACACAGAATCTGAAGCAGGCTCCAGGCCCTGAGCTGTCAGCACAGAGTCTGACACCAGGGTCAAACCCATGAACCATGAAATCATAACCCAAGCTGAAGCTGGACACTCAACCAACCACCCAGGTGCCCTGTAACTACCTACTATTGTCTTAAACCACACCACAGCAGGGAACATCTTACTGTGACTACTGCTTGGCTAGGGACTAGGGAGACAACCACACTCATTCAGCAGAGTTAACATCCTGAGATTCTCAAGGTGGGCCACATCAGTCAGAAAGAGAAGGATGGGAGTACAGCTACAAAAGTAGAGCAATGAAAAAAGGGGTAAGAGAAAGAGCTTTAGCCATCTCAAAATGGTGACCAACAGGAGCTAAAAGGCAGGGGTGGTCAACTAGGAGGGAAGCTTGCCTTTCAAACCAGGGAAATTTTGAACTCCGGACGGAACAGAGCCAGAGCCAGTGACCCCCTCACAGCATGAGGTATCTATGAGGAAATCGGCAGTCCTCTCAAACCAGGAGACTGGAAACCATGTCAGAAGTAATTCTGGCATGATCTCACAATTACACTACAAAAATTTCCTGTACTAAAACCAAGAATCCAGGAGGAATATTTACCACACATCTAATTACACAGATATTAGACCTGATATTCCTACCTAAACAGAAGTGATCTTAAAAGACAGCACTGAGCCTTAAAGAATCCGGATCCACCAGGTTTCGGCCACGTATGTTGGCTATGAGTCCCAGTTGGTTTTAGAGAACTGTTAAGACCAAGCATCAAAGTCTCAAATGCTGTGACATTGTTTTTACCTTCTTCATTAATTTGAATACTCCATGGGACAGAGACCTTTTTTTGGGGGTGTTTTTTTTGTTGTTGTTTTTTTACAACCACTGTATTCCCAATGCCTGGATCGCAGATTTTCCAGTAAAAGTTTGTGGAATATAATTATTTATATAAGAGAATTAAACACTGGTTTTCAAACTATGTCCAAACCACATGCAGAAGGGAAGAGGCCACGTTAAGACTCTGCATCCAATTGGTCTCTGCCCCAAATTCACATTACAAAGAAATACTTTCCTACTTTATATCCTGGGACAGTGTGTTTACAAGATTTTGCTGGAGTCAAGGAAAGGATTCCAGTTCTAAAAGAAATTCTTAAAACCACTGCACTAAATCTTTAAGGTTTGTATGGAAAAAGCATTGGTCCTTTACTAAGTAGTCTCTGTCAAAGTCCCAAGTTCCCTGAACTGCAGATTTAAAATAAAAGAGTTGAATGAAATGATTTCTAAGAAGATTCCTTCAAATTCCAAATCTACAATACTCCTTCAATTAAAAAGGAACAAGTTTCAGTAAACATTTTCTTAACACAAAACACCAGAAGACTTATGAAAGAGAATAAGCATATTCTCCAGTGTTTTTTAAAAACTCTCAAAGCGACAGAATATACATGCTATTTATTAACATTCTTATTATTTAAGCTTCAAAATCCGTCTTTTCTTTGTGACAGTAACACTTCATACAGCAGCTTTTCTCTGTACTAGCTTTGGGAACTGGCACAGAGATCAAGTCAGAGCATTTAAAGATGTCATTTGTCCCAATAAAAAATAAAAATAAAAAATGAAACGTAGAGGGTTTCTATTAATGTCCCATACCCACTTTCACAGTCTAATGTAAATGATTAACATTCAACTTCACTTTCCAACACAGTAGATTAGCAAAGTAAATTTCCCATGCCACACTATTCTCTTCTATGGCGGTTTGTGATAGTTTCTAAAAATTCTCACTAAATAGCAACTATCTCCTAGAATCTACTTTCACTCTAGCATTCATTTCAATGGAAAGAAATACTTCTCAATTATAACAATCTAAGATGTGCTATTAAAAGAACATCTTGGAGTTCCTGGGTGGCTCAATCAGTTAAGCATCTAACTTCAGCTCAGGTCATGATCTCACAGTCCATGGTTTGAACCCCACATTGGGCTCTGTGCTGACAGCTCAGAGCCTGGAGCCTGCTTCAGATACTGTGTGTCCCTCTCTCTCTGCCCCTCTCCTGCTCATGCTCTGTCTCTCTGTCTCTCTCAAAAATAAACAAACATTAAAAAAAAAAAAAAAGAAAAAAACAATGTATCTTTCCAGTAAAGGAGAAACAGCCTATATCAGAACTAACATCATATGCCTATCTATCCCAGGGATTTGAACAAGCTGAGCCATGCTAAGAACTGGAAAAAAAGCACACAGAAGAGGAATGGGCCTCTAGCTAATATACTGAATTGATCATCAACCTTTTATGAAAAGATCCTCAATCCTTCTCTGCACACAGACTATGGCCTAAAATTCTCAGAGCTAAAATGTAGCACTGAGGTATTTCTAGGTCTGCTAACGTTTACAGTTCATACCTGAGATCAATTACAAGCATCTTACAAAACACCAACTTAGTGTATTACTCTTGTTTTTCCTTTATAGTATTCTAAGTTTTATTAGTTCAATAACTGCAGCTCTTTGCTAAAACTAGTTTTTTTAATTATAAAATATAATTACTTTAGCTCAGAATTTAAGTCTTTTCTCTAAATAAAATCCAATAAAATATATCAGAATAATTACCACCAAAAAAGAATAAATAAGGGCATGTAAAAGGAAAATAAATTCCTAAGTCTTTTATGGACTCAGTAGGCAGAGGAGTATGGTTTGCAGATTTAAACTTTACGTTCTATTTGGTGACATGAATAGAATCAGTAAAATTAATCAAAGAGGTTGCTAACATACAGCACCATTACTAACTATCCATTTGAGAATTTTCTCCATTAGAACTCTCACAGTTTATATAGATAGTTGACAAAAAAATTTAACTGGCCTGTAAAATTTTATACCAATTTGCAGACAGAAGTGATGGACTAATCTTTAGGCAATAATAGGAAGTACCAGGACAAAACCTCTTTCAGAAAGTTAGCTTCTAGTTGCTATAAAGTCTAGTACAAATACTTCACTTTCTAGCCAATAATCAATTATTTGCTTGTCTTAAAAACAACTTCTTGCCATTTATGTTTTTGTTTTATCTTTTACAAAATAAGCAAAGTACAGAAGTACTATGATGAAACCTACAAATGTAGCTAGGAAGGTTCTTCATACAAAACTAAAGGACAATATGTTACAGAGAATCTTATTAATTTGTCAAGATTCTTAAAAATTTTAAGTAACCTAGAAGCGCTTGAAAAGAAGCAAAAAAGAAAAAAATACTATCTAACCTTTACAAGAGAAAAAAGTTCACCCAGCCCGTAAGTTTAAAGTGTGTATTACTTTACTCTTGTCTCCTCTTAAAAGCAGTCTGCCATTATAAGATTAGAAATGTCTTTTAGTTTTATAATCATCTAGCAACCCTACTATCCCAATGAGAGATGAACTTAAAATGAACGCTTAATTTGATTGACACCTACCTGTGCTTTCTGAAGCAGTTCAATTGTAAGAGGAAGCCAATCAGGAATGAGTTTCTCCATTTCCAAACTAATCATGGCCAGAGCAAGCATAGATCCTTTGAATTGCAGAAGTTGGTTGCAGGCCATACAGTGAAGGAGTTGCTTGGTAAGGACTGCCAAATGTTGAGATGGGCTCAGTTTGGGCAAACTGAAAAGTAACTGAGGCCTAGCTGACACTGCAATGGCGTGGAACTGAAAAAAATCAGAAGAATATCATACTAGTTTTACTTAAAGTTTTAGGTAAATTATGCACAGAAACTGATGTAACCTCAGGTATTACTCAATTCTTAAGTTTGTAGTTTTAGCTTCATGTAATTTGACATATATGCTAAATTCTCATTTTTCCCTGGTTAACTGTAGTCATTTTTCTTTTCCTAAAAAAATCACAACCAAAAAAATGAGTGAGCAATCTATTTTCTAAGTTACTAAAATAAGACTACATATTCAAATAAAAATCTGAGAGAATCAGGTATATTTACAATGTGAAGAAAATCCAATGGTGTAGCTGTGTGAAGATCCCAATTCAATTTATCCAGAATAATTCTCTCCATCCTCAGAATTTCAGATGAAGAACATCCACAGAAACTGTCTCTTGCCAACACCTTCAGTACTGGAATTCTCTACCCAAGGCAAAGGGAACAGGGCAGGGTGAAGAGGACAGAAAAAATTAACTAATTTTCAATTTTTCTTCAGGTAAATAGAAAGCAAGCTAATAAATGGAGAGAAATTTTCAAGAAAGAGACATAACTAATCTTTAAAGGAAAATATTTACCTCATCCTCCTCAACAGTCTTGGCAGCTAGGAAAAAACAGCTGATTGCAATACAACTCAAGTATTTTGGGTGGGCCTAAAATTTTGAAGAGGGGGGAAAAAAGCAACTTCAGTGATTTTTCAAAAAGTTGTAAGAATTACAAAAAAAAAAAACTAGATAGATATGCAGGTGAGACAGTATGCACAAAAGTCTAAGGAATAATTAATCTGAGTCCCACCCACTGTTTTCTAAGACCAGGATCAACTTTTAACTTCACAACCCTAGCCATATTATATTCTATGAAAATATTATACTGCATTGCTAAAAATTCAACCAATGCTAGTTAGCCAAAGATAAATTTCTATCTACCAAAGAAGAATTTAATTTTATAAGATAATTTTTTATTTAATAAAATTCCAAAAATTAACAATCTCTTTGTACATGTGGGGTTTTTTTAAGCTAATTTTACTCTCTTTACCTGTCGTATCAGTAATATTAACATACTACATGTTAGAATTGAAGAGAAAGAAGACAATAAAAAAAAAGACTATAAACATATTCCAAATGCTTTAAAAAATTATAGGTTAGCAGATGACTAGAAATTTTCTAATTAAGTGTCCATGAAAACCAGTGTGTGTGTGTGTGTGTGTCTATATATATATATATATATATATATATCCACATATATATCCAAGTTCCATGTGAATGAAAGGTTCCTAAATACATACACAATCAATTAGTACGGTACACACAGGAGGACTTGAATTTGCCTGTTTTCCTGATCTATGATAAGGTAGGTCTACCTTTTACCTTTTTGGTAGAATAAGAATTTGCCAAACCCAGCATCAGAATAATCCAGTTTTAAATAACCGGAACAATTAAGTCCAATTATACTGAATGACACAGAAGTTACGTAACACAAAGAAAACCTGTTTTGACTTTTATTTTATACTTAAATATTACATTCCTGTGAAATTGGGGAAACCTTCAGGTGACCTGATGTAGCACTGATAAATTTATTTAATAAACATGCTTTAGTGTATGTGGCATACTGTCTAGAACCTTCTAATCCTCTGCCTACATGAAAAATAACAGCTGATTTAATACCATCAATATTTTTAGGCAATCATTAATATTAATCAGAACATTATGACTTAGAAAGCACTTCCAAAAATATAGTCATGTCTGTCTCAGAAGTTAAGGGACATCACACAAATGTTATAGGAAGTGAAGGCAGATCTTGTAGCTAAGACCATTTTCCAGGCTCCCTTATTTCCCCAAGTATACAACAGATCAAATCCTTGAGGGAATCAGAGTTCACTACAAAGAGCCCAACAGCTAACAAGTTTAGGTTAGGTAATGCAACCCCTAAATCAAGGGCACCAATAAATTTTATAATAAGAAGAATCCCAAAAGCAAGGGTAATTTTTTTTTTTTTTTTTAACAGTTCTCACTCCTAGATGTACATCAGAATCATCTGTTTCTTTAAATACAAACATCCAGATCTCACCAACTAGAGACCCAGATTCGGAAGCTAAATAGGGCTCAGGGTCCATACTTGTTTAAAGAATTTAAATTTATTTAAGTAATCTCTACACCCAAAGTAGGGCTTCAAACTCATGACCCCAAGATCAAGAGCTGCACACTCTCTGACTGAGTCAGCTAAGTGCCCCATCAGGGTCCATACTTTTCAAGAGCTACATAGCATTTTCTTCTGCACAGCTAGGACTGAGGCTCCATTCATTGCTGCAGCCTTGTATGGTCTGCTTCTATTTAAAATATGAATACATTTTAGATATTTCAATACAGATTAACCATAAGAGAATCTTATGCTAATAATATGACAGGATCCATTAAATAAGAAACATGAAAATACTGAGTTTATACTTGGCAACATTCTCTGATGCAGAAATTTCCCCAAATTTGTTTAAAATGTTCAATAATAAGGTAAGAATCTTTTCTGTGACAGAAGCTACAATAAGGTTATTAATAATTTGTGAAGAACATAAAAATCAAGGAAGGACACTATCTTTCTCTGTGTAAGGGAGGTTAGCTACTGTAAGGGTACTGGGAAGGGGGACTGATAAGGAGATAAAAGTAGACATCTCAGATTACCTAAATTTCAGGCAATTAGTATCATTATAATTAAAAATTAAGTCTGTACTTTAAGTCTCTTAAGAGTACAAGTGTGAAACATAAAAAGGTAACTGAGTGGCCATCCAAGTTCTTCCACTCCATGATTCTTTGGCTTCTAATTTTTATAACAACAACGTGTACAGCTTCTGGGCACTGAATTCGTAGTTCCCCCAGCTTACATATTCCTAGGCATACAAATGACAAGTGATTTACTCTTCTACTTTTTCATGCCTTGCCATCAAATAAATGCTGGATTTCTGATTTAAATCCATTGAGGGCCTTACTATGCCCAATTTCACATGATATAACCAATGATATATTACACCAACAGGGACAATATAAAACTTCATGTATTTTTGTATGCTATCATTTAACAAAAAGATACCAAAATTATTGATGTTGTTCATCTTGTTATACTCCAAATGTATGCCTCTAGACGATATTTATATATTTTCAAAACACTACACAATATGGATATTCAATAAAGAAAAAAATGTCCAATAGCCTCGTACTTTTCGAGTCCAGTTCACTGTCCACATCTAGTACACCAATGTGTTAAAAGAGGACATTCTGCTGATGATATATGGTTTGTATTTAAAATCAGGAAATCAAAAATTTCACAGGTTAATTATGAATATTTGCAGAAAAAAGAAAATTACAAAATACAATTAGAAACATTTCCAAAAATTTAAAGCAATGGCAAAAAACATCATGTCTTCTTAATAGGCATATATATCATGTTCAGGAAGGTTTTCCACTCTTTTTCACTTTCTAGAATGTTTACTAATTGCTGCTGGTTTAGCATATAAACCTTCAAACAAGAGGTTGTGTTTAAGTGTATTCTAAAATATTTACCTTTACAGTAGCTAAAAACCTGTCCAAAAGACTGCTAGCCAAAGCAAATGTTTCTGGGTAAAGGTTGAATTGGTACTTGAGTTTGGCCAGCCACTGAATCACTTCATCCCTCTGGGACGGAGAAACATTCTAGAAGGGAACAATTAAAAGAGAGAGACCAAAAAAAAAAAAAAGAAAGAAAAAGAAAAAGAGAGAGAACAAGTGAAGTTCCAAGTTACCATCAAAAATGAATTCTCTCTTATAAAAGGTTAGCAAATGCAATGGAATACATTTAGATGTTAAAAATGTTGTTAAGTTTACTCAAAATCTATCAAGCTTGAGATGAATGAAAATAAAATGTTATGTACTGGTCATAGCATATATTATCAATATCCAACATTCTCTTATTCTTTCTTAAATAATCTTCATTATGTCATTTTTACCACAACCTATACTTTAAACAAAGGTGTTCAGGGAATATAACACTTTAAAAGTTTAGGCATCACTATTATCAACTGATAGTAGTTTTAGAATTAAGTTTCCCAATTCTAAATAAAGAATAAGAAAATATAGTGAATTTCTAAGACAGCAAATAGCCACAAAAACCATGTTAGGAAATATAAATGGAGTAAGGTAATAGAATAATAACCCATTAAAAACAAAACTAAAGTCAACATGAATAAATGAAAGATACCAGGCACAGCAGATGAATTATAAATTTAAAGATCACAGAGGAATACTGAAGGAGAAATTCACCTGAATCAATTTACCAATGGAGATATTACTATACATTTAACATTACTGCTTCCTATAGATTATTTTAAACTGCTTTATAGGCTTAATTTTTAGATGCTATACACTTTAAAGTAATTATGATTTAGATAACTTTACCCTTGAGTTTTGCAGGCCCCATTAAAAAAATAAAACGTAATAATAATCACTTATAATAAATGAAACATCTGTAAGTACTACTTCTGCCAGGTAAACACAACAAAGTACAGAAATGACTGTGATTAGTGGAAAAAAGTATTTTTAGTAAGTGAGGGTTCCAGACAAGTAAAGGTTTAATCCTTAACCCAAATTATAAAGCACTGCAGTCTTTATAATCGTAACCATTTTAGATGGAAACTTTTTAAAATACATTATTTATCTAATTCCTTAGAAAGTAGAGAGGTCATAGATTAAACCTTTTTCCTGATTACTCTGGGTCAATTTTATGAAATTAATTCTAATATCACAGAGAAATACATTAAGAGCTATTAAAGGATGTTAAGGCTGTATATCTTAACATTATCTCCTCCAACAGATATTTAAGTTGGAATTTCTTCTCTCCCCCATCTTGGCTTTCTTTACTGTTGTGAGAAATACACGGCTTGGTGCTCATTACAATCTCTGCCATTGTACTGGCTAGCTAATTTCTCATTTTCTTTCCAACTCGTCTGTCACTTTTCACTTTGGCACAACAATGTAAAATGTTTCTTAGTGTTGGTCAAACCAATTAACTATACTTATATCATTTTTACATCTAACTCTAACCTGAGTTTTAACTGGTATTTTAGAAGGTTAACTGCCATATCCACCTTCTGGTGAATTCCTTTTGTCAATAAAGAATGACCCTAGAATATTATACAAGAAATACTGACAAGAAAAGGAGATAAAAATGGTTTACAACCTCTCACGTTAACACCTCACCACCAAACTGGTATTAAGACTATGAACAATAATCAGAAAACATCTGACAATCAAAACATTTAATTCAGTTCATAGTAATAAACCTTTAGTGTCTATCATGATAGGTCGTGGGAATACAATGATGAATAAAAAAACTTCCTGTTAAAACTTCAAAACTTAAAAGTCTCATGGTGAGGCAAACATAAGAAAATGTCCATCAGCTAAGATTAGTGTAAAAGAGAGGTATGCACAAGGTGCTAAGGCAACATACTGGAAGGGTAACTTGGTCCTGTGTGGAAGTAGGATGAAAGCTTCATATAGGAAACAACAACGCATCTGTATCTTAAAAGTTAAAAAGTGAGGAAAGAATGTGATCATTTTAAAGGCATGCAAAAGAGCTGTTTTTATAAGCCTGTGAACCTTACTCTGAAGCATAGGAATGACGTTAACCTGGAGGAAATAACCTGTTGTTAAGCTCTTCTGACTTACAAATAAAATCAAGGTGGGTGAAAAGGACTGCTTGAAACAGATACTCTGAGAATCAGTGGCATAATTCCACTCATCAAAAAGAAACATAAGGCAATTCGTGAAACTGAAGCTATGGGCTTGACAGGTTCTGGATGCATAGACTAGCAAAGGAATTTACGTCTTGCACAGACTACTGTCTAACATGACAGAGGAAACTGGAGTTAGGCTATTAGAACCAGGAGCTGAATTCTCTCGCAAAAAGAGTCTCAAAATGGTAACAAAACTTTTATCGTCGGGAGCTATAGCTTCTTGAGAAAAGTAAGAGGAAGCAGACACAGACTGACAGGTAGGCCTGGAGTCAAAGAACTGTTAGCAGAGTCAGTCATTGGTTCGATAATGTATCATTTTCCACTGAGCCCTCAGGTGCTACTTTAAGATCTAGTTCTGGAATAGGGGTTCCCTGGGAGCCAAATGAAGGCAGTCACAATACTTGTAGATGGACAGACTTAAGCATTCAAGAGAAATTAAATTCCTACCAAGATGAGATTTTATTTAAAATGCCAAAACAAACAGAAAAGTAATGTTAAGTAAGCCATCCAAACAAATCAAATGACATGGAAATACATTCACGCAAAGGGAAACAGATGGTGACAGAATCTGATGGAACTGGGGAGGCTTTACGGAGGTGAAAGAACAATGACCTAGAGTAGCAATGAAAGGACAAAGACACCATTAATTCCACCTTCAGCTCAGATATCTATACAATGGGGATAGAGGAGAAAAAGATCCCTAACTAACAAATTGTATTAGTGTGTTTATTTGGTATTTTTGACATTAAACAAATTAACATAAACATAATTGTAAGAAGTGCCACAAAAGATGGACATAATCTGCTCTAAGAGTATATAACATAGGGAACATGGTTATATAGATTTCCGTACCATAGCTATAAAACTAAATGATACATCTTTATATAAAGTACAAACACAGAATGCAAAAGGCACTTCAATACTAGTTTTGTCCTTTCCACTTCTAAAAATACTTAACACTCTAATGATGTCAGAAAAAATTTACAAAATATTACATATCATTTTTAAACCTTGAAACTAGTTCTAAAAGAGATCATAACAGTATCTTTAGACTTTACATCTTATATTAAAATTTGGGAAGAGGGCCAAGAAATCATTCCTGTATGGCCAGTATTATCACTAGTTAAAATTAATAAAAATAACAACAACAAAAGAAACTGACAAAAGGTAACAGTTTAAGACTCACTCTTAGGAAAGTCATACTAACATCACTTTTTCAAATCGATTCAAACATGTACTTATGAAACAGAAATATTATTAGGACAGCTTTAAGTTCTGTGTCTAAGTAATCCCATTCAGAAGGAAGGACAGATGGAAGAAACAACTGCCTGCCCACCCCAGATAGTACTTCTTGATCAAGGGATCTGTTTTCTTTTTCCATGGATTCCTCAAATAGGGTTAAGAGAGTTCACTAAATTGGTCAACAACCAATCCTCAAGAGAATTTATAATGTATTGATTCAACCTGGCAAAACACAGAGCTTTGTATTTCACATGCTACTATTCTGATCATAAAAATACAAATCCTCCTCAGCTTTAAACTCTAAAATGCTCACCATTATCTAAAAGATTAAGTACTATCTCCAGGCATGGCATACAAATCCGTATGATCTCCCTCTCCAGCCTCACTCATCTTCCATCACTTTCTGCCTAAAAATTCATACTGTAAGGACAGCACTTGTATATTTATAGTCCTTCCTTGCTCCTGCCATGCTATTTTATTATATCACTGCTCCTCTGTTCATACTGTTCCCTCTGGTTGGAACACACCCCTTCTCTTTTACCTGCCGTATTATTTATCTTTGAAGAGCTATTTCAATGGTCACTCTTCACTACACTTTTCCTAGTGACTCATGTTGGGCAAAGTACTTTCCTGTGCTCCCACAGCCTCTCCTGTCACACTAAAGTTCAACATTTAAAAAATTACATTTCTGCTTTTCACTACGACAGAGTAGGTAGCAACCTACAGTCCAGCTGAGAACTAGAAAAGCTATTAACAACCACCAACACCACCACTGTTTTGAAGTTATCAGAACTGCTAGGACCACCAAGCTCTGTAGAACAAGATTCTGGAGAGGAGGTACAGGTATCCCTCAATTTCAAAAGTCCATGTTATGTCACTTAACTTTTACAGAAAGTCTACATTAGTACATGAAGAAATCCAAAGAGAATTTTCACCTCTATGAAAAAAGGCAAAAAGTAAAAATAGCGTTCAGCATTTGTTTTGCAACAAGCCATTAGAGAGTCAGCAGTGGCACACCCAGAGCAGCAGATTGGTACTGCCAATCTCCTGCCCCCAGAACTCCACTCAGTACCGCAGCATCAAGCCAGCATGGCTTTGAACTGTGTCTATGAGCATAAGCACTTTATCTTGACTTATTTTGCTCATCTGTTAGCAAGATGTGTCCTAAGGTATCAGAAAAGCCAAAGAGATGGTGTAAGAACACTCAATAACTTTTCCTTATAAATTAACGGTAATTGCTTCTTAGCATTACACCATTTCAGCTTACGAAAGTTTTCACAGGAGTACTCTATTCACTTTCAAATACTGGGGAAACCTTTTTTTTTTTTTATGAGTAGTCATTATTTTATTTAATTAATTTATTTATTTATTTTTACAAATAGTTTATTGTCAAATTAGTTTCCACATAAATGGGAAAACCTTTAAGTAGAGGAATCAACATCCGGCAGTAGCTTTTCATTCAGGGCATTTGTCTCTTCTGTGAGTATGCCAAGAGACTGAGGATGGGCAAGGAAACCTACAGAGCTTTTGAGACTTCTATAGGGCTAGAGACAAAACACGGAGACTTCAGGGGCCAAGAACCTAGTGGGGCAGGGAGGGTCAGAGAACTGAATATGACACTCAGCTGACTGCCCCCTTAATTTTGGCATAAAATTTTCTTTCTTGTTTTAAAGTTTATTT